GTCTTCATCAACAACACACTCCCCAATCTCCAAGCTCTCAACCTGAGTCACAACAGGTTCTGGACGGTGCCGACGAATATGCCGCACAACCTGAAGAGCATCGACTTGTCGAACAACTATCTGGTGCAGATCCTGGCCGGATCGCTGGACCGGCTGCCCAGGCTGACTCACTTCTACCTGCACACCAATCGCTTCCTGTGGTTGCCCGATGGGGTTTTCGACAGGCTGTTCAGTCTGGAGGTGATGACCCTCGGGGAAAACCCTTGGGCTTGTGAAGAAGAGGAGAACATCACAAGGCTGCTGAAATGGACCGAGACGACGAAAGCAACCGTCTTCGGCTGTCCGTGTTACACGAGACCCATTTGTGGCAAAACGCATTCGGCGACGCAGGGAATTGGCTGGCACTCTGCGATATTCACAGAGCCGCCGATGTGGGTGGACAGCAGAGGGGTGGGCCACGGTGGTCATCAATCGCCTGCGAGGACTGCAGCGGTCACGTCCAGTTTACATGCCATCTCTGTCCTTTTTGAGACAGGAATTTATCAGGAAAAAAGAAAAGGGAACACATCCGTGGAATCTGTCTGGGCCGCCACAAATTTTGACAGTTTCTCCACATACACAAGCACAACAGCACGTCCACTGTCTTCAGCCAAGAAGCCTAAAAACCCTCACAGCCAGAACAAAGGTCCAGGCCTCGGTGATGAGCTCCATAAAGGGTTCACACTTTCTGTCTTCGTACTGACAGCTTCACTGAACTCTATCTGAAGTCTCCAGACTGGGAGCAAAAGTCACTACCGCATCATCATTTGACTTAAAGGGAAAATGTTTATGACTGTTAACGTCTTCTGCCACTATCATCACCTTTTATCAACAACTGTTTACAATGTCTTGAAAACCTGCACCAGAAAAAAAAAATGTATCCAAATTCTTCACAGAAAACTCCTGAGCTAATATCGACGCTTACTCTCAGTGCAAAGCTGCCAAACCTTGACAGACATTTGCGCTCAACGCCATGCTAATGCTAAGCTTATCAATGCCAGACTTCTAGAAAGTCTAAAATTCCATTGTCCCAGTGCATTCACAGCAAATAGGTAAAAAACAAAGCCAGACTTTGGAGTTTACAGCAGATGAACAGATGAAAATGTGTGAATCCCAGCAGTGCAACGCATCAAACCCTCTGTGATATAATATAGTATGTAACAATAAAAAATAAAAAAAAAGATATTGACGAGAAAAAAAAATATAGAAAAAAAAAACAAAGCACAAAAACAAACAAAAACACTATAAGACAGAAACAAAATGCCATCAACATTAAATAAAGGTCAAAAAAGGTCATTGATGACTAAGAAAAATAAACTATAAATATGTTCTTTCATGAGAATGTGGAAGTTGTTCTTTTCTATTGCATTGCGATTAAAAAAAAACTGGTCTGACCTTGGATTTACTGTGCTGTTACTTTTATTTGCACATACCTCCTACTCACTACGTGAAGCAACGATAAAGGTCAAATGTCATTTTCAAAGAAGAAGGAAAATAGTAACAAATCAGTGGAGTGGAGCTGAACGGCAAAATGAATATATTCTTAGTTAAATAATTCAAACCCATATAAAAGACTCGGTCTCTTTAAAGCAGAGTCTTATTGGTTCTAATGTCAATGTTGGACCTGATTGGTATTTAATGAAGTAACAGTTTGTTTTGTCCGTCGACATTAACTTGACTGATGTTCAGGTAAAACAGAAAGGACACGTGGGAAGAGTGGCCTCACGGTAACCTGCTGTAACTGCCACACATTAGACTCACCAAATACAGAAGGCTGCCATTAAAATGGACATTTTGTGTGTGGAAAAAAACAAAACCTTCACTATGTGCAGTTAAAAAACCAGGAAATAATCAGAATATATGTCATAAATAAACTATAAATGAAAAAAAAGAAATTTGATTAATAACTTTTGGATCCATCAACTCCAGCATCTCAACCATTACCACAATTGCATAAATAGTTTACGATAACAATAACTTAGACTTGAAAATACAATCTTTCAGCTTTCTCCTGAGCTTTAAATGTCAATAGTATTGATACGAGTAAAAAAGCTGGTATTGTTTGGTGACTGAAAACATCAAAAATGCTAATGGAGATAACGGCGTACGTAGGTCTTACCTGCGGGCCACATAGTAGAAAACGGGGTTTCCAGTCTTGGAGGTTCCTGCCTGGTAGAAGATGTTCAGGGTCTTCAAGGCTTTGAACTCCTCCTTTTCATGGACTTGGTGTCTGCAAAACAAAAACCGAGTTTTTTTTTTATTTTTCATTAGTGCTAGTGATCATCACCACTGTCAGTCTCTGTCTCTGCTCATAAGGAAATGTTTTTTGTTTTTTTTTTAGAGAACTCACCGGGTCATGAACTCTTCAAATTTTGAGCTGGTCAGATTCAGACTGGACCAGTGAGTGTCAGCCACAGGTTTGTGCTCAGGCGGTCCCAGATAGGCCAGCAGGGTTGCCATCTTGTCAAAGGGTCGCCTGCCAACAGCCTTGTGGTCCCTGGAAATGAATATGACCGCTCATCACACTGCAAGAAATTACTGAAGAATTTCTGTAGCGATCATAGAGAACAAATTGGTTCGGGGAGATAAAATTAAAAAAACAAACAAAAAAAAAACCAAATGTTACCTGTTGCTGGACAGGTATTGGCCGATCCTCTCCTGGTTGTTCCACAGAAGGCGGTGAAGGGCGAGAACGTTGCCATCGCTGATGAAGGAGAGACTGTGGTTGACGGTGTCACTCGGCGGGGAGTCGGAAGCGATGTCTAAGAAAAACCTGGGGTAGAAAAAAAAAAAATAATTAGAATCGGAATCTGCTTTATTTGAAAATAAATAAATAAATAAAAATACGTAACAGTCCCAAACGGTGGACAGTATTATTACTGACTAAAACTGTATCTAAAACCACCGTGTGTGCTGCCTGCAGTCACTCCAGACATGTTTAAACTCCCCTCACTTTTCCATTCATCAGAGGTGTTTTTTCGTGACAAGCCAAAAGATTAGAGGGAAAAAAAAAATCTCACAATTTAAGGTTGGGGTTAGATTTATTATGTTCTGTGAAGCCTAAGAAAAAGCCATTCCTCTCTCAAATCGTGTCTGTGCTGTCAGTGGCTCAGCGGTAGAGGTGTAAACTTTTTCCTCGGACTGACAAAATTTAAAATGAATAGTTAAGCCCCAGGACAGGAGTGAATGTGTTCTGAGTCATAAAGGCAGCAAATATTGCTCTCTCTCTCCAGACTAATGGATTGACCACAACTCCGACAAACTCCACTGCAATAAATATCTGTGTCTGGTTTTCCAGCTTTGTTTAAAAAAGTTGTCACTTCTAATTTCAAACACAACAGGAAATATATATTTACCCTGTGGCCTGAACCAAAGTCTCTCAGACCAATGGATAAAAAAATGATTCCTTTTTTAGCTCAACCACCAACTACTTAACACTGAAGAGATTAAAAAAAAACGATAAAACACATGCACAGCGTCAGTCATTTCCCAGGTCTCTCACCTTCTGGCCGAATCAAAGTTGCTCTTCACGAAGTCATTGAAAGGCCTCATGTGTTCTTCTTTCGTAAACAACACATGGTTAGCGATGCTCTGCAAAATCTGAAACGCAATATCATTGTTATTGTTAAATTAAAGAGTGTAAATCTCTGCAAAAACCCTCATGTGAAAAGATGAATATTTCTGTGTAAGACTTTTACTACTTGTAACACTGTGAATAAAGTTAGCAGCGACAAAAAAAAAAAAAAGTGTCAGCTTAAAGCGACAAAAACAGGATTTAAAATGTAAATGCAAAAACACTTTATGTTCCTGCAAATATTTATCCTAATTTTAAAAGCGTTAAAAGTGTTTAGAGGCTGGTCAGCGATGCCTCGCAAAAATATCTTTAAATACCTAGTGAATAAAAGTAGGCATGACATTAATTTACACCAAAAAAAAAAAAAAAATATATTATATATAAAATGCCTTCAATTTTTAAAATGTAAATGCAAAAACACTTTATTTCCTGCAAATATTTATCCTAACTTTGAAAGTGTTTAGAGGCTGGTCAGCGATCCCCTCCAATAAAATATCTTTAAATATCTGGTGAATAAAAGTAGGAATGACATTAATTTACAGCAAAAAATATAAATATATTACATATATATAATATATATAAAATGCCTTCAATTAATATAATAATATTGTGTGTTTGGATTTTGGTTTCATATTGTAGCAGTAAGCACATTCAACGTCCTTAGTTGTATCGAATATTGATTTTTCTGTTAACTTTTCAAGCTTTTTTTTTCTTTTTTTTTAGAAGCACATATTTGTTTTGGTTCTGACCGAACTGCACTTACCTTGGACATGAGCTTGAGGCCTCGCTCTATTCTGGGCAGGGGCTTCTTGTCCAAGATTCCAGCCTCGTACGGTGACACAATCGCTGGGTTGACAAAACGCAGAAACATGGCGCTGCCAACTGCACCGATGCTGTTCTGTGGGAACCGCTGACTCACCACCTGCGTGAATTCAGATGGAGGGAGCAGGGAAATCAAAGAGGAAATGTAGAGTAGACGAAGAAAAGAGAGAGGTCGTGAGCACAGGAGACAGCAATAAAGAATTTAATCTCAATAAATGTAGGAACACGATGGAAATGATCATGATAAAAATGTACATCCAGCAATCTGAGTATGAGAGGAGTGAGGTGAAGATGTTGGGAGGAGAAATGCATCCAGTGAAAAATCCCAGTTCACATTAGGCTGTAACCAGAGCCGGAAAAAAAAAACAGTTCAACTCCAGTAACAGCCCAAGAATTAGGAAGATGATGAAGGAGGAGGAGGAGGAGGAGGAGGAGGAGGAGGATGTGACAGGGAACCCCAACTGTACCCTCTCTGATCCTGAACAATGAAAGGAGAAAAATCCCTGACAGGAAATAACAGACACCTGACAGGTGGAGGAGAAGAGCAGGGTTATGGTGTGAAACAGGAAGGATCAGCTGGACGAGCAGTGACACCAAGGGTTGGTTTGTTTTTTTAAGGAGAACATTGAGTTTAATTACATTCCCTAGATCAGTGGTTCTTTTTATACTTTGTACCTCCTGAGTACCACCATGATGACCAACACTAGACTTTAGCAGCGTAGGCCTTCACTAAAATGTATGTTTCAGATTTATTCAATTGAAAATGTAAATGTGAAAAATATGAATTTTCCCCCATGTACCACCAGTGCTACACGTACCACAGTTTGAGAACCACTGCCCTATTTTAAACTGTGACGTCCAATGAGACAGATTGTGTTTTGTGAATTTGAACTATAACAACTCAAATTTAAAACATCACCACCTCAGCTCACACTGTCTGGGACTGGACGGTAACAATCATCCACACCATCATTCAGGCTATTATTGTGTTTCCACATCAACACAATTTACACACACGATATACGCATGTGTGCGTGACAACAGGAAGTCATTTATACCACCCCCCCGACACTGCTCGCCACTATTAAACCATGTAAGTCAAATTTCAAACCTCAAGATATGATCTGACCCCTTGACATAATCAATGATATTTGTAAGGACCGGTCACTATTTCTGAAAGTAGAACCAGTCAAACAAACCTGAAAAATGAAACACTAGTGACTAGAGCTACGGGAGGTCAGATAACGCAGATAAAAGACACCTTAGAAAAGATTAATGCCGTTTGTACTTCAACAGCTTTTTAGGACTGCAAACAAGGATCTACATATGAATATATTTTAGAGATCGAGGAATTGGCTCTAGTTTTAAAAATGGATTTTTGTGTTTATCTGGATAAAGAAGTCCTGTTCAAAAGGTAAGGAGTTAAAATAGGTGCAGTATAAACCGTATATCTTTATATGCTGCAAAGAACGAAACCCCACATTTATTTCTTCCTGTAGGTTTTGCAACATTTCAAGAGAAAAGGAATCACCAATCATCCACCGAAGTCAGCAAGATGTTCCACGTACATACACAGATATATCCACAAGATAAATGCACACACACACACACTACGAGTATAAAAATATATATGTATATATATTAATGCATATATACATCAATAGCCACACAATCACATGGTGTGTTTATGTGGTATGCATGTTGGTATGGAGGGGAGGGAATGAGAGAGAGCAGAGGTTCTCTGAGGAAGGAAAGAAACATGTCCGGAACATCCCATGTTTTCAAGATTCTTCAGAGATGCAAGTTCAATTTTTGCAAGAAAAAAAAAAGAATACAGCTTTTACACCATCCCATTCGTGACAAAGGGAGTTTCGTTCAGAATATTTCAACACCGTTCATGTATACTCTGAAGACGAACTTTTCTAAGACTGGTTAGAAAACCTTTTTTTTGTGTGTTTTTCAGATCGGGGGATTTTAATAAAAAAAACGGTACGTTTACTCAACAACCTTATTTAGTTTACTTTGAAACACAAATATTTTCACAAAAAAAAATACCAAGGTCACGCATCATTGGTCATTTCCTCTGGGTTTTCTTGCTTGGAGTTCATGTAAAAAAATAAATAAAGTCATGGTTCATTATAATAGAGCATTTGAGTTTTTTTTAATAACAGAGTTAACTTCAGTGTAGCATTTGGCAGCTGCTTTAAGTTCAGTTAATTTTTAAAAATATTTTAAATTCTGAATCATTTTTAGTCACTATTTAGAAAACCCAATTTTTTTGGAAACTAAACTAAATATTTAAAGTGAGTATATATGACAAACAACACTCACTTTCAATCACATTTTATTGCTATGGTTAATGACTGACCTTGTTATTTTGTGAATATATTTTGGATTTGTGTCATGTGTGTGGTCGTACTGTACGTGATTGGCTGCTGATCCGTTAACGTGAGTCGTGAGCTGAAACAATGTGATGAAATGTTCTGAAAACAATGTCTCCTGCGTGACAAGGTCCAGAAAGAAGACAGAAGAGAGAGAAGAAGAAGAAGACGCCCCTGTTCACTGGGAACTGTTAATCGATGTGACATGGTGCCGATATTAGTAGAGTGATTTTGAAAAGAGGGTCGTAGACAGGATTGAATATGGAGAGAACAAAACAATTTTGAGAGAGAAACACCAAATAGAAAAAAAAAATGAAGAAAAATAAAAATCAAATGAGATGCAAAAAAGCTCTTTTTTTTGCTACAGGGGACAAGTGTCTTGAGGGAAAATAGATTCTCCAAACTTACTGCTTTTTTGTTTTCCTTTTTTTCTTTTACTGTTGCTTTATTCAGAAGAGAGTGGCAAGTAGCCTACAGAACAGAGATGAGCACAATCATGGTCACGGCACCAGCAACATGCGCTCCAAACACACCTTAACTTTTGAACACCTTCAACTTGAAAAATATCACACAAAGAAACAAAAAAAAATATATAAATATATAAAAAAATAAAGAGGCTGCTGTAGGAGTGTAGGTCCTGCTCTGGGGGGGATACAAGCATGCACTGCTGTGGTTCTACTTCAGCACACTGTCATTAGTGTGAGGATGAGTGCACGTGGGTCTAGACAGCTGCAAAGTTGCAAGCAGAAGGTCTAAAAAAATGGAGAAACACCACCCCCTGCCCCAAAATATTGATAAATGGAAAATAAATCATACACACACACACACATACACACAAACACGCATCACTTGTTTATGAAGAACTTCGTTCACCTGGTTGCGGTGAGCAGACAGAGGCATGAGAGCAGAAGAAGCAGCGACAGCAGCAAAGAGAAGCTGCTCGGACTTTTGGCGTGAAAGAAACGGCAAACTACTGTGTTCGGAGATAATGAGGCGTCCGCGACAACCACGTACTTATGATTTAAGTTTGTGAAAGAGAAAGACTCGTGTACCTTTAGTCACCAGAGGTCCTGATAGGGCCTTGAACCGATAATACTATCAGCAGATGTATGGTCTCTTTCTATTTTAGGGGTCTAAAAATGTATTAATCAGAATATTAACCTGGCAAATAGAGACCAAAATATACGTCTATTCATATATATATGTCCCAAAATGTTAATCGTTAATTTCCTTCTCTATAAGATCCTATTTTCCAAAACAAAAACAAAAAAGTCCTTGAATTACATTTGAGGCCATAACTCTTCTACTGGTTGGGAATATTTGCATGTTTCATTTACACCTCTAACCTGGCTGTGTGCTGCATCCTTATGAATAATAATAATAATTAATTCAGACTGCAATAACTGCTGTTATTTATATGTATATCTACATATTTTGCGAAGTGCCTGGTTGACAATGTCTGCAACCAAAGCACAACCGTACAGGGATCTTAGTGGTGGAGGAGGATGAGGAGAAACACTGCCTCGAGTGGGCATGCCGATTATTACGGAGTCAACAAATCTCCTAGTCCGGCTGTGGGGGGGTGTGCGCGTTATAGCGAGCAGTGAGTGGAAAAAGCATCAGGAGTTGAGTGGAAAAGGCAGTAGCTTGAAATGTGTGAGTGACACTGCAAATAAAAGACAGAGGCTCGTGTTCAAAGGAATCAAATCGGGCTCATTAATATTTCGACTCTGATTGACAAAGTATTTTAGCCTGTCCAAATATCAGTGACCCCGTATTTGACTCTGCAGGTGAGCAGGAAGAGGCTATGGTAGAGTGGGACTAAGAATGAGCGGGATGTGACCCTACCTGGTAGAGACAGTGGCAGACGCTGCGCAGCTGGGGTGGAAATTCGCTGGACGAACCAATGATGGCCTGGAAGAAGCGCTCGGTGATCTGCAGGAGGTTCCGCTGGTTCTCCTCCAGGTTCTCACCCTGTTCCAGCCTAATGACGTAAAGAGAAAACACGTTGATGGCTGCATCATTTCTGATGATGTTTGAATGAAAAAAAAAAAAAAAACTCTTAAAGCAACAGTAATCGTCCTCACCGGGTGGGGTCCACCTCAAAGCTGATGTGTTCAGGAGTGGTGATGACGCCTCTCAATAAAGGCTCCAGAAGCTTTTGCAGATATGCCGCACCGTACACCTTATGAAGGCTCCAGAAGCTTTTGCAGATATGCTGCACCGTACACCTTGTGTAGCACAGTAAAAAAAAAAAGAAAAGAGGTTCATTTGTTTTTTTTTTAAGTTCATTAAAACCTTTTGTTTGTTTTTTTTAAGTTCATTAAAACTAAAGTTCCTCCTGTTTAGGTCTGTACCTTAAAACAGAAGGTCATTATTTTACTGGCCAGGCTGTTTCCTCTGAAGAGTGTTTGCATGGAGTCGGCCAGCTCCACTTCCTTGGAGAACATGTTCCACAGCAGCTGGTAGAGGAGGTGACGAGAATCAAAGAGCGTCACCAACACCCGAGCCAACTCATCCTGGACGGAGGAGAGAAACGTTATCAAAAATTTGATCGCAAAAAACATTTTTTTCTCATTTCAAAAGTGTGAGAATTCCATTCATTCCCACTGATAAAAGCAGAAATCAAATTGTCCCGTACCCACTGAGACCCAGGAACCACGTTGGCCAAAGCCATGGCGATGGGTAGCTCTCCTTGGTCTCCCATCATGGTGACCAATTCCACCAGTCTCTCAAAGCGGTCAGCCAACACCGTCTCTGCCAGGGTGTCAAACTCCGTTCCCTGCTGCAGGATCTTGGTCAACACCTCCATGAAGGTGGCTCTGGTCTGCAGGTCTTTGTGGTAGCCCAAGCCTATCAAACGAAGAGACGGACAGCATTGCTTTTTTGTTCCCGAACAAATATCAAAGGTTTTATTTCTGACTCTGGCTGAAGTACCGATCGAGTGCATGAGGCCGCTGTCCACGTTAGCGTTGAGCAGGTTGGACATGGCCAGCACGGTGCAGTGACGCAGGGAGGCAAGACGCCGGGACATTCCTCTCTTTCTGCCCCCCACTGCCTGGCCCTCATCTTCCACTTCACTGCAGTCATTGAGCAAGTTCATGAACAAGGTGAAGTACCTGAACAAAAAAAACAAAACAAAGATTTACAAGGAGGCACAGAAAATGTTGATATGATGTTTGACCTATCATATAAATTATATAAAACATTTTTATTACTATATAAACTGTTTGACCTATCATATAAATTATATAATAAATACGTTTTTTTATTGCTATATAAATAATTTTAAGGCCCTTCTCAAATATTTCCTCAGCTAGTTTGACCACAGACAGATCAATGTAATGTGGAAATACAAATGTTGTTGTTTGCTGTTGTTTTTCTTACTTGAGGAAAAGCTGAGATTTGGCCTCCATCAGTTCAACCCCATCGCCCTCCTCTGGCTGCAGAGGAAGACCAGCTAAGAGAGACACCACTGCCTCCATACTGGCCTGATCCAGGTCTCTGTACAGAAGAGAAAACAGTAAGTGGAAAAAAAAATCTAGCTGTGTTTAAAAAAACACCTTCTAACTCAGAGTTCTAGCTTGTACCTGGTGAGACATTTGATGTCATCGTCAGCTGCTTGATTTGATGTCCCCATCACCCAGTCTGTCTGATACTCCACCATCTTGTTCCTTTAAGGAATTTAATAATCAACTAATGTTAGAGTCGTCAACGCCAACACATCCTACGTGACAACAACAACAACGGGGAGGAGAATTTTCTCGTATTTGTGCACTGACCTAAACTTCATCTCTTGGCAGAAGGAAAGGTCATCTCTTCTCTCCATCATGACCTCCACCAATTGGCACAGTTTGGTTTTAATCTGGATGGCATGGACCATGTTGCCCAGGATGCGTACATACCTGAAGACCACGATAATGTAAAGTGACGCACGTCAGAAAAACGTTGCTCCTTCCTTTATTTATTTATCGCCTTTTCTTTCCTTCTTTAACCCTTTAACCCAAACTAATTTCTCAATCATTATCCTTTTGTTTTTCCTAAATATGTACAAGGAGCTTTGATATTTGGTTGTATTTATACTTTGTTTTCACATTTTGGTGGAAACACTGAATGCAAATCGTTTTGTTCTGACCTGACCAGGTTGAGCATCATCGTCTCGATGCTGGCCTGTCCCAGGTGCTCGGAGCTGCCTTCTGTGTGGTTGTCCAGCAGATTCTTCATGATGGCTATGGTCTGCTCCACAAACTGAGTGTTTGTGTCGTTGATAGGAACCTAAGAACAGGGAAAAACGGAGACTGCATTTCTAGGATAATAAACTGATTCATACGGCACCTGGAGAGAGCAAAGTCACTGGTTAAAGTTTCAAAGCGCGAGTGGACAAATCAGCAGAATGATCCCACTCACCGGACCCTGTGTGTCAAAGAACTTTCCGATGCTGTTCCTCAACTTGTTGAAAAGCATGGGGTACAGAGCGGGGCTGAGCTCCAGACCCAACAGGTCTTTGACATTGGTGCGCACATGGAGCCCGACCCTGTCGTGGCCGCACACGAGCAGACCCAGCAGGCGGTCCAAGAAGCGGCTGACGGGCGTCTCGCTGGACGCAGATGAGGAGCAGGATGAAGCTGAAGCCATGGGATTGGACATGTCGCAGGGGCCCATGGAGATCATGGAGTGCTTGCGCTCGCTCATGGGGCCCATTGGTGGGCTGTAAGTTGCCGGGCCTGGGGTGCTACGCTGCTGGAGGCAGACGCCGCCCAGTGCACAGAGAAAGCCCGTAATGTTGATCCATTCCTGATGTGGTTGGAACGTGAGAATTTAATGAATACAGACATACAATGCTGTCGTCAACACACAGTTTTGAACTACAGCCAGTCAGAAACTGAAAACAACTAAAATGAACAGAAGAAAATTAGAATTAAAAGTTAGAAAATGTGACATTCATGGAGCAATGCTCAGAAGTAGTAAGAAGTCAGAAGTATGATTGTTGTTGGACTAACAAGCTTCATTATCACACAAAAAGACAACTGTCAGTGACAAGTGTCAACATGACCACGAAACGTGACGAAAAGTCAATGAGACAAAAGTGAAATTCAAAATCTCATAAACACAGAGACAGGTGTTAAGAACTACATTCTTACCTGCCCGTCATCAGCCTTGTTTTTGGGACAGTTGAGAATCTGTTTTGTGGCCAGATCCCATTTAGTACATGCGTCCTCCCAAGCCTGGAGGCGGGTGGGGGGAAAAAAATAAAATAAAATTGTCAATCAAAAACGCCACTCAGAGACATCATGATCACCATCTGGGATTAAACTGAAAGTTACATCAATGTTTCCAGGCGTGGGGTGCTCTATCCTCCTCAATAAGGCCATCACCCTCTTCTGTAAGGTGGATCTCCCTGAAGAAAGAAAGGCCTCCAGCATTAATGGAAATACCAGATGTAGTGTATCTACGTTTACCATTTATCACTTTAAAAAAAACAAACTGTTAACTACTGAAGGACCAGAAGGTACTAACCTGTTCCCATCATGTTGCTAACGGAGGCGAATTCACTGAAGGTGGCGTAGTTTGGCAGAATGTTCTGGACAGGCACTTCGTCAGCAGCGCTTCGGATGTCCGCCTCCTCACAAAGGTGTCGAAAACACGACATGGCCACGAGCACCGCCTCGGTGTCTGGACTCCACAGGAACATGTAAAGACAAACCTCCAGCTTGGTCTGCGCCTGCCTGCAGATGGGGATCCCACCACCCATCGTGGCACACTCCTGGAACGATGAGGTAAAAACACACACACACATGCATTAAATCCACAGGCAGGAAGGCTGAGGTGGACACACAGTTGTGTCTGGGTTGTTAATGGTATTTTGGAACAGCTCCGTACCTTGTTCTTTAACAAAAACTTGTTCCTACAGATGAGGATCTCCCTCAGCCATTTTAGAACTTCTGTCCCATTAGCCAGCTGCTGGCTAATCAGCTTACGGCAGACGAGGAAAAGCACCTGTGAACTAAAGAAGAAAAAAAAAATCTAGCACCTGTGAACTAAAGGAGAAAAAAAAGAAAATCAGCACCTGTGAACTAAAGGAGAAAAAAAAAATCTGAATCAGACCACAGCATCCAATCAAATAAACTCTTATAGAAAGTAGGAATGGACAGAACTAGTGGAATATGTGAATACATAATAATATAAACATTAATTAAAAAAAAAAAACATTTCAAATTATTATCCAGTCTATGGAACGTCAAAAGACTTTCTGGCAATCACCACACGGGGGCGGTGCAACCATGGCTGAAATTCTACAAACGCTCCTAGCAGCAGCTCCTCATAGATAAACAGCACGTATAAAAAAACCCTACTGTCATTACCATTATTTTAATGGTATAATAATTTCATTATGAATTATTTAACAACACTTTCCTGAAAATAAAACATTTGCACAAACAATAAAATGTTGCAATGTAAAAACATTGTCAACAAAAACAATGTCTACAAGTTTAAAAATTTTAAAAAGCAAGTTTCAACAATATCTGAACAAGACACAGTTAGTGCATTTTTTTTTCTCTTTAGAAAAAAAGTTCAATACCTGATGTCCCAAAAAGTCTCTATTGGGGTTTCAGGGTTCCACAGCTCTATGGTCTCTGGCTGGTGAAGAACCAACAGAGCCTAGAAACACAGACCAGAGGTCAAAGGTCAGCGATAGAGAAGAAGTTTGGTGAACCACGGCAGAGACAATGAGTTTTATAACAGGTTCTAAATATGCAAACAAACAAACAAAAAAAGATACAACACTAGAGTGTGTTGGCTGTGGTGTCTGACCTCCATGGCTTCTTGTGAGAGTTGGGTGGTGTTGGTTAGAGGCACTAGCTGCACCAGGCCAGTGATGAGCTCTGCTGTGCTGCTTTGCATCTCTGGAGCCTGTTTGACTGGATTCTAAACAGTAAAAAAAAAAGACACCAATACTGGATTCTAAACAGTAAAAAAAAAAAGACACCAATGGACTTTAGTTCACACAGTGAAATGAAACGATATCTGATAAAAACCTGTGCTTTTATTGAAAACAAAATTGTTTGAATGAGACGTGAACGCAGACTCACATGCAACAGGAGTTTAGGGTCTGCATGGATGAGTTTGACCAACGCGAGGAGGAGGCACTTGTAGTTTCGAGTGTCCAGGTCTGTGGCTTTCTCTTTGAACTTAAGGCTGGTGGTCATCTTCCCTTTGAACGTCAAACTCTGTAGAAGGACAGCGGCAGGTGGAGGTAACAGTTAGAGCTACGCCGCATCATACAGAATATACGCCATATAAGTGTTAGCATCTACGATATGATGAAAAGCCTTGTTTTTGCAAATTTACCCATTGATCTTATTTTTTTATAATAAGAAATACATGCAGAAAAACTTTTAACTAAACAGGACTTAAACATAGTAATGTTCACAAGTGGCCACTAGCCATTCTCTTCTAAGCCTAATCTTTCTAGACACACTAGACACTTTTATTTGCGGAGGGTTTTTTTTTTCACATTACATATTATGTTACATATTTATGCATTTTCTACTATCTAATTCTTTTCGGGGTCAAAGGGGGAGCTGTCCCTAAAGAGACAGTTTAAGTTTTCAAGAAGTTCGCCATAAAGCCTAATGTAGCCTTACATATTTTAACACCTAAATTTTGTGGGTTCCTGTGGCCTCACCGGTGTCATACGTAGTGGAGCATGAGTTCCCACGCCTTGCACCACCCGGTTGAGTGTGTCTGAGAACATAAAGCGCAGCTCTCCGGAGTAGCAGTACACTGCGTCGATCTTGGGCCACCAGTCAAGGTGAGACTGGAACGGTAGACAAAATGAGTTAGATCACACGTCGGCATAAATCTGCTGTCAGCTACATGTGCCCGGGCTGTGTCCACTTACGTTAGTGATTATTCTGTGCAATGAGTTGACAAGGACAAAGTGAAAGGTGGAAGGGGACGAGGAGGCCAAACAGACCTAAAAAAAAAAAAAAAAACAGCGAGGAGACCCTTATTAAAACTGAACTCACAATACTGCTACATGCAGGTAACTGAGGGTAACAAAAAAAAAAAAAAGACTGGATTTTATCGAGTTCTACCTTAAAGTGCTGGTTGTTATGAGGATTGATGCGAAAACAGGAGACAAAGCAGTCCATCATCAGCTCCACATCAGCATTCTGGCTGCCTGTTGCCCTCCAGAAAGGCTTGGCCGGATTGAACAACAGAGTCTGGTGGTAGACAGAGAGAGAAAGGACGTTAGGTCACACCTCAGTCGCGCATGGAGCACACAACAAACGGATTTGGAATTTGTCAAAAATTGACCTCTACATTTAACACGTATGTGAAGGAGGAGACGATAAAGCCACGTGTTCCATCGTATTGGTTAAAGCAGGTTATTATTAAAGAAAACATGTTTGTGGAGAGTTTGCAGATTGTGATTCATCAATGAAAATATGATGTCGTTCATATTTTGTCAAACTCGTGATGTTGGTGTTGATGCAGCTCATTCAAAATAGGCAGGGCTCTGCAATATATTAACGTTGAACCAGTTTTATCTACTAATAAAGCTGGGAGGCAGGTGAGAGTTCATCAGAGAGGAAATCAAAATGTTTGCGATGTTTTCTGTTAACCTGTAGATATTTAGGTGAGACATGTTTATGTTTTTTTACCTGAAAAATTATCAGAAAAATCCCAGATTGAGTAACATGTCTAACCTTTAGATCCATGACAATGGACTGGACCAGCAGAAAGATGGTGGAGTGATCCTCCCAGTTGATGTAGGTGGACGCTTTACACAGTTTGACACAGGCGATGGCAGCGCTCTCCATCAGCTGCTTGCTGCCGCCCTGACCTGACAAAGCTTTTCTCAAACTGTCCAGAAAAAGTTTCTGGAGAGAAGAAGAAGAACAGGAGCTGGAGTTAGTTGATGTGTGTGTGTTTGAGTGTGTGTGTGTGTGTGTGTGCTCATGCTTTCCTCCCACCTTGTTGGCTTTGCTGTCCTCCACAGTGTCTTTGGAGATGGTGTGTGTGATCTCTGGACAGAGGATGAGGAGGATGATCTGCAGTGGCCACACAGCTGCTTTTCTTTTGGTGCTTTCTGCAAAGCTGTCCACCAGATCAAACAACTTCTCTGCTGCTTCTGCGCACACAGAGTGTGTCATAATAATGATTAAAACAACTTTGTTGTAATCACAAGGCCGTGGATTTCTGTTACAGTTTCTTGACAGAAGCACAGAAAGATTTTGCTTTTACCTGCCATGTCAGCCTGTGGTCGCTGGTACAGCATAGTGAACTCATCTGGATAATTCTCCACCCAGTTCCAAAATGCCTGCAGAGAGAACAGGTGAAGTTACTCAAGTTTAAAATGAAAACAGCCCGAAGTTAAATTTGGGCAACGAGGCTGTAAATAGTTGAAGAAATACCTTTTCTAAACTATTGATGACTGCGAGCTGAGCAGGCTTCTTCAGAGCTCTGAACTTCAACACAGTTTCTTAAAAAGGAAACAAGCAGACATTAGAACATAAACAGCCGGCAGATCAATGCCATAAAAACAACCACCTCGACCATGAAATAACACCAGACTATGGATTACGTTACTTCCTAAAGAGCAGTACAGGTGATGGGAGTCTGTAATAAAATCTGGAGCAGACCTTGCAGCAGCCTCCTTAGCTTGGAGCAGTCAACGTTGATGTACTGCATCAGCTCGATGTCGTGGACGTCCACGTTGTCCTCAGAACACACCGTCAGCTCCTGGAGCCTGATTTAAACCCCGACAAGTAGGAAAGATTTTAATGGTGTGGATGTGGTAGTTTTTTTATTTATTTATAGTCACCATCCAAGGGTTGACTTGACCTTTGAGGAGGACGGACTTTTGGGCCCTACCTGGTGGAGATACGGCTGAAGACGGCGTTGAAGTTGTTGCAGCTCAGAGAGAACAGGACGGCTGAGGCCGAGGCCCTGAGTTCAGCAGCGTGGTGGTGGCCTTCGCGGTACGTGTGAATAAAATGGCAGATCTCCGGCAGCAGCTGTTTGACCAGCATGGTCTCATCCAGACGCAGGCAGTCCTTAGATTGCTGTAGGAAAAAAAAAGAAAAAAAAAAGAAATGAGCAACAACCGAGTTCTCCTTAACCTCCACAACACTGTACACGAGAGTCTTCAGATCAGATTGTTCAGCCTTTTGATGCATGGACACAAGTTTGAAACGTCAGAAAATGGAATGTTTGAATCATCGACTAAAAGCTGCCGTGAGACTCACCCCAGCCAGGCATTTCTCCAGTGTGTCTAAGATGATGAGCTGAGAGAGGTAGAGGTTCTTCTCGGAAGCTTCTCCAAATATCCGCTGTAAAAACAGCCAAAATCCTCACTTAGTTCCTTAGTATTTATAATAATTAAAACACCAAAGCTGTTTCTTACAGCAGTGTGCCTGAGTAATTAATAAAAAATAATTAAAACACCAAAGCTGTTTCTTACAGCAATGTGCCTGAGTAATTAATTAGTAATTAATAAAAAATAAATATAGTCTTATTATTAAGACGTTGGTTGTGGGCCTAAACAAGTGGTTGGTGCGTTGCAGGATCGAAGCAGCTGCTGCATCTGCTTTTGATTTGTGAAGCGGGCGAGGCTTCAGGTCCAAGATAAGGATTGATCTGGCGAGAGCTGATGAGGTGATCAGGGTCTACGTTTATCAAGCATGAAAACTACCACTCACCATGTTGTTGACATTTTTGAGGATTGTAGTGAGACCACTGATGACCAGGGAGAACTTGTACTTGGAGATGTTGATCAGACATTCCTTGTTGTGCTCTGTGCTGATTTTGGTGTGAGTGTTCTGGTGACCAACTTTGATGGGAAGCTGAGAACAAAAAGAATATTGGAGTCACATCACCAGCGTTGTTGTACAGCGCCGCCTTCTGATCCAAAAATAAATGTAATTTTAAAAAAAATTAAAAAATGTACATTGTGTTACCATTTGAATATTATAAAAAAGATATATATATTATAAAACAAATATCCACTTTAAATAATATGTAATATGTTACATGATCCACAGTTTGAGGGACAACACCATCATGATCACTATATTGATCCTTCATTCATGGCAGAGGGAGTAAAAGTACTCCTATTTAATTTAATCAAACAGTTAGGCTGATTTTTGTCACCTCACAAACACTAACCAAGAGTTGGTTTAAACACTAAACCCACTTTCTTCTGACCGCAATAATCCAAGATAAGCTGCTCAACCCTGACTTCAGTCCATAATCTTTGGCAACTTTCACTGCAGAAAGAGAAACTATTGCCTTAACACCCCATGATGACCAGTCAATTACCGATTAATAAGGATTTCCTCACACTTAATTGTCAGATTATGAGTGATGTTGAAATACTTTATTTATATGCGAAGATGTCCAGTGTTTATCCTAAAACTTCAACTTAAGAGGATTTGACAAACTACAAAAAAAAAATGCCCAAGGCTACAAAAACAATGGCAGATGTTAACAATTTATTAGTTCTATATTTGGGTGTAAAAAAGCGTTCTATTAGATGAAAATTGGCTCAGCAAGACCTGGATGTTGACTTTCAACTGTTGCCAATAAATCTTGTGTAATGCGACGCATCAACAGATACGATATATGATTTATTATTAGTGTCACTAACAGACATAGTGCTGAGTGATACATAAGTATCAGATTACATTGCTTATGTTCCACGTACACAAACATTAAACACAGATCATCATTTCTGAGCCCTTCACTCTCCACACAATAAATTACCTGAGCAGATTTCTGGACAGATTTAGCTTCAAATTTAAAGGAAAGTTCCAAAGAAAGCACTTGCACCGGAAATGGAAAAATTGACCTGCTGTGTTTATCAACACCCAGACTGAATCCTTCTTGGATTCTACACTGAACTTCAACCATCACCAGGAATTACATTGAGGTCCATTATCTATACTGAATATAGTGTCAAATGAGTGCTGTCTTACAGAGACCGTGCACCAGTCTCTCTAGAAAACCATTAGAAGTCCTTGTTTATGTAAATTAAAATGTATGAATTGTGCTGGTTCTCTCTCTCTCTCTCTCACTCTCACACACACACACACTCAGTGTATCCACGACCTTCATTTAGCATGGCTTAAAGCATCTTTTCACAGGGGCGCTGGCCCCGTGGGGCCACATTACGGGCCTCGAGTTCCTTGACCTTCGTGGCCCCAGTGTCCGAGTCCCAGCGGTCGCTACAGTTACCTTCCTAGATGCTAACGTAGTCGCATCTTATTTGTTTACATTGGACAGTTAGGCCTGTGCTAATGTTAGCACCCATTAGCTGCCCTGCAGAACCGTCAGCTGCGGACTACTACCAACAGTGTCTCTCTCTCTCTCACACACACACACACACACACGTATATAAACACATACACACATACATAGGCGTGTGTGCAAGCCCACACAACAGTGACACGGTGGGTAACCGTGTGTTTTCACCGTCATCAGCTGACGGTTTCTCTCTATGTGTGTGTGTACATCGCCTGAAGAAATGTGGCAGGAGTGTGTGCTATTTGACGGTGCAGACAGCGACGGCTAAAAAAGAGCCGTCACCGTTTCTGCAGCTGAAACAAACGGCAGACACATCTCAGCCGTTCCCGCCGGTAAAACGAGTGCTCCTTTGATGCTGGTCTCACCAGGAAAACGACCCTGCGTACTGGTAACCGTTAACCCAGCACCACCCGGAGAGCTGCTACACCCAAACCCTGAATGAGCGACTCTTACCTGCTCATCAAATCTAGTAATCACGGCCTGGACCCACTCCACGGGTTTATGAGCCGCCATGGCCGGGCGGAGGGAAACGGCAGCGCAGCGCTGACTAATCCGAGGTGCGAGGCCGCCGCCGACACGTTTATTTCCGCATGAAAATGCGCTCCGACTAGTCAGGAGAGGAGCAGAGCGGCGAGTATTTTTCCTTTTCTCTTGGATTCACCATGCCACCGCCATGACACACCACCGGAAGTCTTCTTCAGAGAAACTGGTGGGCGGTGTTGGACACTGCCGTCAAGCTGACAGTATTCAAGCCCTGCGCAGCTTCCTCCTAATATCTCCATACATATTTTTTTTTTAACAAAAGTGAAAGATTAAAAGTGTATGTTCCTACTTAGAAATGCGACAACACAACACGATGAACAGAGAACACAATTGTCAGAATGGACCAACATACAAAACACGTACAGGAGGGTGAGATAAGATAAACTGTGTAATAAAGATTTCAGGAACCATCACTTTAATTGAAATTGTTTTTCCTGTGTTAAGCTGTATAACATTCGCCAAGTTATAAGTTAGGATGGTATAGGTATGTATTATGTATTGCAACATTTACCTTGAGTTATTATAAATTATAGATCACAAAAATAAAAGCACAACGAAGAAAATGAGTACGTATCTAAAGCCTTTTCTTTTTGTAACACATCGCTAATTGAACATGTATGCTGTCCATCGAATTTAATCTTTTAAAACAAAAGCTTTTGTTACCAGAAGACTTTTATTTTGAAATTAGAGGCCTATATTTTTGCCCTTAGCCAAAACAGTCACGGCAGCTTGTCGACGCTTTTGGACGACATGCGTCAAATAGGATCAGGATCATTGGAGCCTTTTCATTCTTGGGTGATCTTTTTTTTTAAATCTTCAAAATCTTGGAAGCTAAATTGACTCATCCTTAATTCATTAGCATTTACTGGTTATTTAAGAATTTTATGGAACAAAAAATCCAGCTCTGACACAGAAGCAAAAAATATATTTTATTAACTGGTATCAGTAATGCTCAATAGCAACTGTGTTTTAATCACAAGTATGTTTTCACACCCAGTGATAACAGCACCCCCCTCCCCTCCCTGTATGAGAAGGCAAAGCTCAACATGATTTCGACAGCAGAGCAGCATCCACTTTCCCAATGTGAGGAAAGGCTGACGAGTTTCACACACAGGATTTTCAGTCAGCATCAGCAAGATATACTTCGTAGTATTGCATATTGCTAGTCAGGGAAATCTGAAAAATCTTTCAATATTTTTTTTCCCAAAACAGTATTCTCTCTTTCAAAGTCTGACCCAAGATTTACGTAATAGTGACATCAAGAAAGAGCCCGTTTTGACCTGCCGTCTCTGGAAACACTTGGCAGGTTCCGCACTAGTCCTTTGGTAGATCTGATTCTGTATAATGTAGTGAGACAATAGTATTAGTCCATCTTGTATAGCCAATGATAGTGGTCTGGTCATTGTCTTTGGAGGAGAATTTAATTAAGGCACTGATGGGCTACCACATGGTCCTTTGGGTGAAGCTGCTATCAGTTTGTCCAAGCTAAGATTGTCTTGAAGTCCATGTCACTTTAGCAGACCTCCAGGGTCTACTCTATGGCATCAGGTCTTGTGGCTACATAGACAAAAAGAACAATGAGCAGCACCACCAGAGCCACAGTGGGTAAGACGACTGTGGCCACCTGCTGGCGAGCCTCCTGCATGGCTTGTTTACGCTCCTTCTTGTCCTTCGAAGATTCCTTTTTGGGTTTGCCTTTGAGTTGCCTCATTGCTGTCTCTGCCTCGCCGTACTCACAGGATCCTGACTGAAAAGAGATGTTGAATTACTTAGAAGTAAAGTGATGATTGAAATGTGTAAATAATTTTTTTAATCTGTGGTTGGAAATCATCATAAGCAGACAACTGTCTGGACGTCAGCCTCCCTTTGGATCAAGCAATGTTGCCATTATTCTTCACAAGTTTTAAGACGGAATAATTATGTCATTACATTTGTCTCATGCTGAATGTTGATTACACTGAATGCCATGTAATTAACAGTTAAAGGAGAAATGGTTGACCCATCCACTGAGTGCAGGACCAACAGGTAACACTGGACGACACAACCCTTTCTGAACAACCTTCTTTGTGAACATCTAAAATACAATTTATTTTATGTAAATATAATCTGGTATTATTGATTTTTTTTCATGACAGTAAACATAATATAGTATTTTCTATATCATTTCATGTAGCTGGGTGCCACAGGTATGGAAAGAACACAATAGCAGTACAACCTAGTTAGTATGAACTCAGTTTTTATTAGAAACAAACAGAGCACTACTGGGATGGAGGTCCAGAACAGGAGACTGTCGGGTTACCGAAGCTTAGACAAGGCGATTGTCCTAGGCAGGTCAGGTCTGGATTAGAAAACAAGGGCTGGAATGTGTGCATGAAAGCGAAGACATTCTGGCAAGACTCGAGGGAGTGCAGCTGAACATATAGGTGGAGGCGGTTGAGCAGATTGAAGGAGCAAAGAAGCAGAGCAAAGGCGCAAAGAACAGACGGCGACACCTGAGGACAAAATAGCTTGTCATGATTCAAAATAAAACAAAATAATTTTGTGGGAAAGTAGGCGATCAGAACATTATTGACGACAAGAACGCCACGCCAGTACACGAGTACACCTGCCAGAAATACTGCAATGAGTTGCTGACTTGGTGGCTCAAAAGAAACGTGTCCCTCAATAATCCCAAGTCTCTCAACTTTATTACAATAGTTCTCCTTGTGTTAAATCTATTTTGGCAGATGAAAATCTATGGTTCCACATACAACGACTTACTAAGAGTTTCATATTTATTTTGACCCGTGTACCTGAACTAAACCTGCTACAGAAAGGAAGTCAAGTCTGAGCAAATTGTGACGTCACAACAGACCAAAGCAAAGGTATCATTCAACTGGTTTTTGAATTTGATTCAAGAAAAAAAAAGATCAAACTTTCCAAAGCTGTTGACACTTCATAACATGTTATTGTTCTGAAAAATATCACATCTGTCTTGGAATCTTTTGACTTACTTTAATACTTCTTAAATCAGCAGAACATTTGTTGCTTCTCTTCCATTGTTTCACCTTCACATACCATTATTGAGTTACTGTATTTATAAGGTAACAGTAAAAGACCAAGACCGTCACTATGTCATGCTACAATATACACCCAGTCAGTAAGTACTACTAGTTTTGGAACTTCGAACGCTTTAAGTTTGTGTAAGAACATCTTCACCAGAACTTTATTCGAATCAACGCAGCGCCCGCACTTTACAGGAGCGATTACTAATCGACTTATTTTGCTCATAAAAGGCAGCGAATAACTTCGCGGGGCCAGTACTAGAGGACTAGACATGATACACAGTAGTAGAACTTTCTGGTCGTCCCCCCTCATGCTGCTTATACTACTTTGTGACTGTTACGCCCCAGTTTCCGGCAGTATCTTCGTGTTGCGGAGCACGTACTAAGTTTGGGAAAGACAGGTATGGTCCAACAGGGACACCCGGACTGAGTTGAAGGATCAGCGAGAGTTGACAGAAACCGAGAGAAAGGTGTCTTACAGTTGCAGTGAATGTGAAGCCGCTCCTGTGCTCAGCTCACGGTGACGTCCCGGCGCAGTCTTGACGGGACAAAGTTAGTCAAAGAGACGCTCGTCCTCCGCAGCTCGACGTGGCAGTTAAGTGTGGAGCCGCTGTCAAGCTTCAACACGCGATAACACGAACATTTCCGGTCTGATCCTCCAAAATATAACATGCTACAACTACGACTACCAGCTCCAAGACACTAATGTCGATGTTTAATGAACAGAAAACGCCTCAGAGAGGGGTTTCGTAATGAAAGTATTCTGTGTCAATCTTTACCTGCTGTGGTGATATCACATTACCTGTCAAAGATGAGTGCAATATAATCTGTTTCTGTGCAATACCTCAACAATACGTGCAGCTATAATGTAGATTACACCATTTTTGTTGTGCAAATATAGAAGTATATTTCCAATATTTAGATTTTTTAATTTTGTATCTTTGTATCTTGTTCTTGTTCTTTTTTTCTACATCTAATATTGCTGCAACATAACAATTTCCCCTGTGCAGAATAAATAAAAAAAATAAAAAGTTTGTTCTATTCAAATTAGTCTATTCTATTCTAATCTGATCTGAAAGAGAGGAAGTAGAAATATATTCCTAATTAAACTCCATATACTAGTCATGTACAGAGAAACAAGGTTGTACTGAAATAAAAAAAAAACACAAGTACTAACAAACAAGTACTAGGGTGGAAAAATCCTTTGAAATTATAATTAGAATGTATTTGTTGTGTATATGGCCCCTCAAATATATATTCAGTTCAGAGCAGTTGCCCCTAAAGTGAAGGGCCTGTCCTGACCTACAGGGGTGTGGATGAGACACAAGTGAACAAACAACACATGCTGTACCAACCGCAAAGGAGTTAAAGAAAAAGGAGTGGCAGGTGTGTGTGTGTAACCATTTTACTGCAATTAAGTGAGTCAATCTTGTTATTGCCACTTTATTTATCTAAGCGAGGAGCGTTCTGGATTAGCTACACTTGGCTGCGTAGGCTGTGTTCTTGAGGGTGGAAATCCACTATAGTTGCAACAAAAGACAGATGATTTTAAAGATCCTCGCAGCAGGTGAACACCCCATCCTGTTTACCTGTTTGGTTTTCCTTTAACAAATCCCAAATTCAGGGATTCAGACAGCTAGAAGCTGCTTGATTAAGTGGTAAAATGTCTTCTAGAGACAGAAAACAGTCACGTTGCCTGTGTCTTAATGGCTTCAGATGAACTGATGAAGTAATCATGGTATTTTTTGTAAAACTAAAAATACACTACGCTAGCTTTTACTAGCTCAACATAGCTGGTAATGATACAATCATGTTTTAACAATGTTAATCAATAACACACAGAAAAACACCATCACACTTTTAAATGTGTAAAAATATACAATTTACGTTTATTTAATAAAGGATAAACAAAGGACTAATTTTATTGAAAATATCAAGCACCAATGCCGAACATTTATAACAACAACATCTATTTTATATTTATTTGAAACTACACTGATATTTTGTAGAAAAGGGGAATCAATGCCGTCTAGCGGTGAAATTATGTACTACAACTAAATGTATGTATTTGTGGTGATGATTGATGAACTCGGGTTCTGGGACCCACGACGACAATTAAAAGTATATTAATTAAATTCTACCACAAAGAGAAGGTATTTATATAAAAAAATAGAAAGTCTGTAGAAACACTATGCAAATATACAGGCTGCTCCTATCGAATATGCTAAAGATATTTAAAACAGAACCCGGCTAAGTACACTATAGCTTGCCACAGATACACTGGATGTAGACACAACCGACGCTATAAATGACTACAGACCTCAGCTGCAGATTCAGCGGCCACAGAAATTCTTAGTAGAGTTGTGTTAATACCAGGTAGTACACTTGTTACAGGAAAACGCTACAGATACACTTCCTGCGCACAGGCCTGATTAGCAGACACTTGTTGCCGATACAGACTGGTTACGATACGGACAACACTGACAGCAGGCTTTTTTTTTGTAGAAACAGTCAAAAAAAAAAAGCAAAATAAAAACCGTTACAGATTCTGGTTAAAGACACACGGAGTACAGATTCACTTTGGTACAAGGGAAAAAAACAGCCAACACACAGAGACAGTAGATGGTGTTTGTACTGGATAAACTGGCTACAGGAACGAGCTACACATGCACTGGCTGCAGTCACTTGTCGTGGGAACCAGCTTTAACAAATGGCCATGAGCTACGGTCACCGACGCTGGCTGCGGGAACACGCCACAGAGGTCCACGGGATGCAGACGCACTGGCCGCAAGACGCACTGGCTGCTCTCACTGACAATCAAGCAGCTTACAGTGATGTCAAAGCTGCGCGCTCGCTGATTGGCTGCCCAGCGCGCATAATCTTACTTCCGAGTATCTTAGGGTCTGTTCACCATGTTGGATCCTCATCTCTCGGATGCCTTGCGATCGATAGTTTGACCCTTTCCCAGGAGGAGGCAGGAGCTGCAGCGGCCGCCACAGCAGCTGCGGTAAACGGAGACCGGTGCCGTGAGACCGTGACGCTGACGCGCATCAGCGGATCGACGCCGCGGCTTCCTGTTTGGAGATGAGCGACGCGGAGGCCGGGCTGTGTTGATGCGGACTCCTCTCAGCTAGCGACCGAGCTGTCAGGTTCATCTCTACCCGTCTCCCGCGTTCGCCCGTTTGTTCTACATTTAGAAAAGGATCAAAGTTTTGTGCCGTGTTTTTTCCTCCTGCTCCGGATGTGCATGTGTGCATCAGCGGCAGACGGACGCAGACGGACTGGCTGCTGCTGCTGCTGCTGCTGTCCATGGGGATAAGAAGTTGCGTGTCAGCCGCCGTGTTGAGGATCTCTCTCGCCTCCGTCACAGTGATGAGTGGTTTGTTTTCTGGAGGATCTCTGCTTGAGTAATATGTGAGAGCAGTGGACGGACGCGGCCTGGGCCTGTCTGTCTGTCTGCCTGCCTGCCTACTGTACTGTGGCCTGGGCTGGAAAATACCTCCACTGCAGCGGATCAGCAGCACTGGTAATTACGGCCCCGGAGATTAGCCTTGTTTACGGTGCACACAGCACACAGCGGAGAGGGAGCTTTCATTGTTGGATGAGAATTCTCGACCGTGCCAAGCCTCGGTGCTGCTGCTGGTGGCGGCGGCGGTGGCAGCAGGAGCCGCAGCTCGTGCCAACTTGGACACTTTTGGAAAAGATGCTGCCTCCTCCCATGTGATGATCTTCGCACCACAGTGTTGAGACCAGGAGGGGAGGCAGGGGCCCCAACTCTGTCAGAGATGAGGGGCATCTAGGGGCCACCGAGTTTTATTTTGTTGGGGGGTGGGGGTTGTTTTGGATCAGCATATCTGTTCAGAGTCATCGCCATCGTTCGACGTAGTGGGTCACGTTTACAGGTGACACACAGAAATATTTATTTTTATTTTTTGTTGACTTTAATTTGTTGTTTTTTGTAATAATAACAAAGTGTCAAAAATCACTGTTTCCAAAAACTCACAATGACAGTAACATCCTCAAAGGTGTTCCCGAAGAAGCTGAGGTCACAGAACTGTTTTTACTTTTAGGTACAAAAAAGGCTTCATCAGTCATTAGGACTGAGTTATTATCCAGTAATAGTTTGTTAAATGCAGATTATATGGCTCTTCTCAGCAAGTAGCTGCGTCTCCGACTTCCACGGACATCTGGGTGTTTTCTATAGCTATGTTGTCTCCGTGTTTCCTGCGCGTTGAGTCCAGTCATTAACACCACCCTCAGCAGCAGCAGCAGCAGCAGCAGACACTGACGGGGCCTGTGTGAGTGTCAGTGAATGGCTCTTTGCAGCACGGCGGCTGCAAATGTTCCAAAAATGATGGCTGCTTACAATGGTGGCTCCTCTGCTGTGGCTGCCCATCACCCGCATCCGCACCACCACCAGCTCCAGCACCTCCCAGCCCCACACATGCACCACCATCACCACCCTGGCCAGCATCACCTACAGCACCCGGGTTCTGCTGCCGCTGTCGCCGCCGCCGCCGTGCACACTGACCAGCAGCAGCAGCAGCACGCCTCCACTGCCGCCGCAGCCGCTGCCGCCGCAGCCGCAGCGGTGATGCTCAACCCAGGTCAGCAGCAGCCTTACTTTCCCTCCCCAGCACCAGGACAAGCTCCTGGGCCAGCAGCGGCCGCCGCTCCAGCGCAGGTCCAAGCCGCGGCGGCTGTCAAAGCCCATCACCATCATCATCACCATCATCACCACCAGCAGCAGCAACATCAGCATCAACATGGCCACCACCTGCAGCAGCAGCTGGACATCGAGCCGGACCGGCCCATTGGCTACGGCGCGTTTGGAGTTGTGTGGTCAGTACACATGTAGGATACCAGACGCAGTCTAGGAAGTAAACAGGAAGTTGTGTTGTACCACTAGAGGGCGACTCAATTGGTCTTCAACCTAACTTTTTAAAAGTCAAAAGGAACATTAGATTCAAATTAGAGAATATACATATACATGACTATACATATACATGACTATACACACATATATATGTATATATTATATATATATATATCAAATGTACTTCATCAGCAAGTAATTCGAACCCCAGTGCAGTCTGTGTGACATTCTTGTAGTTGGGAGGATTATCAGGAACCTTGTAAATAAAATACTTTGTTTGTTTTGCAGCCATGGTTGTGCCCTTATTAGTCTAATATTTAATTAATACCAATGTCATCAGCAGCAGGAAGATCTTAATTCACCATATGACCGGTCCGTGACTGCTGAGTGGTGTGATTTGAGTCTGAGCTTAGAGCGCTGCCATCTGTGTCTTTTCACTGATCCAATTTGAAAAGGTTCACTGGAGGTTTTACTCAGGGGGCTTTAGTGTTTGCAGCTGAAATGCTCTTACACCTGCTGTGTTCCTCACGAGGCTGTAAACTACTCTACTACACTGTGACATTCCTGGGTTAAATCCTAACGGACGTACACAGCCGGAACGCAGCGCAGGAAAGAACACTGTCAGCTCCGCTCGGTCATAGTCTTTATTCACCCTGATCTCGTCTCACTAACAAGTCGACACTTGTAGAAATTAGCTCTGTTGAAGGTGTAAACAGCAACAGCAAAGGTATTTAGCAAAAAGAAGTAACTTTTCTTGTCAGGAAAATGAGAAAACCTCTCCAGTTGAAACTTTTGCCTCCATTCTGTTACAGTTCCTGCTGCGTCTATTTCTGTGTTGAAGTCGAAGCCTTTGGTCTCATTGCAACATAGTCACAAAAATAAAAAACTAATTTCGGACATTAAAAAAGTTCCATTTCATAGGTCGGATATACAGTATATTTTATACTACTATTCAGATAGAGTGCCCCTCCTGGTGGAACGTGGTATTAACATTAACAGCCAACATCAGATACAGACTGTGGATTTAAAGGTTTTGTTTTTTGTTTTTTTTTCCATTCAGGTCAGTGACAGACCCCAGAGATGGAAAACGAGTCGCCCTCAAAAAGATGCCCAATGTCTTCCAAAACCTCGTGTCTTGTAAGAGGGTGTTTCGGGAGTTGAAGATGCTGTGTTTCTTCAAGCATGAAAATGTAAGTACATTTGTGTGTACGGACGCCTGAATCCACATGTCCAGATGTCATGGACTTTATCAACCAATCAAACGCCCTGTAGGTTCAACAAACACATGTTAGATCATGCCTGAGTGGCCTTAATAATCTCCACCAAATGGACAGTAGTGTATTAGGTCAGCCCTGATTAGTGTAGAGCAGTGGTTCTAAAAGTGGGGGGCGCTGAGCTATTATAAGGTGCAGGAATTTTAAGCAGTTAGACTCCTACTTGGGCTGAATGATAAAAATGTGTAAGAGAGCAGGGGACAGCCATACAGTGGGAACTGAACACATGACCAGCTGCTGAAGGCGTTACACGTCATAACCACTGCACCCCAGGGATGTCCCCTCATTTACCAGAGTTAATGACCTAGTTCCTGTATTAAAACTCCCTGCTTTAACACTTCAACACTGAGATCGTTACAGCTACATTTTTTATTTAATTTTTCCACCATCTATCAAAGATACTCACCAAGTATCGTATTTTCCAGACCGTAAGTCACACTTTTTTTTCATCCTTTGGCTTCGTTTGTGTTACATACTCAGGTGCGACTTATCAATTAAAATACATAATTTCAAATGTTTGTTATTTTCATACTGACAGCCACTAGAGGGCACCCTAGCTGTCTGGTGCGACTTATACTCCGGAGCGACTTACATATGTTTTTTTTTTGTTGTTGTTATTTTGTTTTTACTGGTGCGACTTATAGTCCGGAAAATACGGTAATGCTTTGCTGACCATAACTACCTGTTCTTCGTCCTCAGGTTCTCTCCGCTCTGGACATACTTCAACCTCCACACATCGACTACTTCGAGGAAATGTATCCTTGTTTTTCTGTGAAATACCTCTGACTTTTAATGGAGCTCTGCATTATCGTAATTATCAGAGCAGTGATGAGTTAAAATCATCGTCTTCAACGTGAACCATTAGAAGAGAATGAATTAAAGTGTCTTTATCCTCTGTTGGCCTCACCCATATACTGTCGCTCCTCCACTTCCTGCCGTAATTGACGAAACAGAAGAGCGTAGCCTTCGGTGAATTCCTTTTCCAGCTCTGCCTGTAGCTGTTTGTCTATTTTCGTCACTTGTATGCATTACTGTCTAATGATTTGCTTGGCCGTAAACCCATCGCCGGGGTTTCCGTGTCACTGATTGCTGACAGCGCCTGCTGCAGAACTCAATATGCCGAATTGACTGGAAGCCACAAACAATTGGGCAAGAAGGGTCAAAGTGCAGGGCGCGGACAAAGACCCACAAACATCCAATAATGTCCCAGAGGCCAAACGCTGGCTGAGAACTCTCTGACTCGTGGCCAAACACTTTTACCTCTTGACCTCCCAGTTTATCCCTGTTTGGCTTAAGTGACGCACACACACACACACACACACTCACGTGCTCTGCCCTTATTTCCCTTCATTATCTGTGTTCAGCTACGTGGTGACAGAACTGATGCAAAGTGACCTTCATAAGATCATCGTTTCTCCACAGCCTCTGAGCTCAGATCATGCCAAAGTCTTTCTGTATCAGATTCTAAGAGGTAGGTGTTTTGGGGTTTGTTTTTTTTCACAACAGTGTCCATGTAAGTGTCGTTCAAACCCAAACACCAGTCGAGCGAGTCATGTGTGAAGGCTGCCAGATTTAAGGCTAAACTCCAAAGTTCTGAGACAAACGTTACAAATGAAAATAACCAAATAGTTTCTCACCACAACCTTCACTTCAGTCTCAACAGTCCTCCTGTTTTGGGGTTTGGAACTGATAGAGATTTTGTTTTTTTTTTAACTCGAGTTTTTTAACACAAGTTTTTTACCAAGGACCGGTCGGTCCACACCATGGTTTAAGGATCAATACATTTTCAAAATAAAACCATCTTTTAGACTTTCTTCTGTGAGTATCAGAGTCTGAATGACCTTTGACCTGCTGTTTTGAAACATTGACAGATTATCTTTAAGTGAAAACAGTAAAGTGATATGAGTGGATTCTTTTGGAATGAAGTCAATTAGTAAAACTGAAGTACATTGTTTCCCTACGGACCGACACCGGACCCCGGATTTGTTCATTTTGGAGAAATGTCTCACCAAAACCAAACACCAAAATCATGAAGAGAAACATTTGAAGCCACTCCTGTGAGATGGTGTTCAGTTGCCGTTCCAGTCTGTTGACTTTGGTGTGGTACAGAAACCATTTACAAAGCAAATAATCTTAATATTTCATTTGGAAAAGTCTTCAACACACACTGGCTACGACTCAGCTCCTTCAACAACCCGACGTGATCGACCAAATCCCTATAGAAATGACCTGAGGTGGAGGGAAACACATGAACGTAGAAATGACCTGAGGTGGAGGGAAACACGTGAACGTCGAAGTCATAAACTGTCTCGAGGTCATAAACTGTCATTATTATTACGTCCCAACACCACTAACTTTTTCTATTATTATTAAATCCCAACACCACTAACTTTTTCTTCTCAGTCTTTTTTTAAATTATGAATAACATCCTCCATTACCATAAATGCGCAGACACGGGTTTATTGCAGTGTAGCGAGCCTGTAATTCCCACATCACACCGACACGTCAATCGTTACATAAGTGATATCTGATGTAATCTGTCTTTTCTCGTCTCTTACTCATCTGCTGGGACTCCCACCAGGACTGAAATACCTTCATTCTGCTGGCATTCTACACCGAGACATCAAACCTGGCAACCTTCTGGTTAACAGCAACTGCGTGCTCAAGGTGCGTGTTCACACGTCACAGTCCTTCACACGCACTCTTGAAACCCAACGCCACCCGTCTTTGAATCAAGGAATTACTGTCGTGATCTGGTGTTTCCATGGTCCGTCCAAGATTTCCCAAATAGTGCCCTCTTCAGGCGTCAGTCTGACTTGGACACAGTCTTTGTTTGGTTAGCGTTGTGTCTTCAAACTCTCCCATGGACGCATCATGGCGTTGTTAGGTTTGCGGTGTCATGTGCTGCTTCTTCACACCTTCAGGCTCACGTTGCCAAACCAGGTGACTTTTATTTTTTTTAGGTGAGGTTTAAACTTTAGACCAGGGTTGTCAAACATACGGCCCGTGGCCCAAAACAGGCCCGATCGAATGTACTTTTCTGCATGAAAACAAAGGGGAAAGAGACAGACATTTTGTTATTAAAAAGGTAATTATGTTGTATGTGATTATACTAGTCCGGCCCACAACAGTTTGTTAGTTTTTTTCTAAGAAGTTGTTTGATGAAAATGATTATTTTCTACAGTATCAGAGCACAAACATTGGTGATAGACGACAAAAACAAACAAAATGTGACAGACACTGTGTAGGCAGCTGCAATGACGACGTCAATCAGAGGGGGGGCGTAGTTATTTTTTAACTTCATTGGTGGAATTAGAGATGTTACTGTGACCCAGTGGTTTGTAGTATTTCTTTACTTTTTAACATGTGGGTTTTACTGTCGTTTGTAGTTCGTAGAGTAAAACCAAGTAAAGTGAAGTGAAATCCGTCTTCACGAACATCTACCGTGGTCTATGTGGGACAGGAGACATGTAGGCAGCTGCTGGTTTTCATGTGCGGACTGTTTTCTGTGTGATTTGTGTGGGAAACATGATGTAACATTTGCCATGTGATATAATGACTAATGCATTTTTATTTTTTTATGTGGAGGAAGAGATTAGCATTTACAGGAAATCTTGTCTTGTCAAGTTTCTAAAACTTAAAAAAAGGGAAAGGAAACAGAGATATTTTTGGTTCATTCAGAGACATTTCTGTTGTTTTTTTTTTGTTTTGTTTTAGATCTGTGACTTCGGACTCGCCCGAGTGGAGGAGTCCGACGAGTCACGCCACATGACTCAGGAAGTCGTAACCCAGTACTACCGAGCTCCAGAGATCCTGATGGGGAGCCGTCACTACCACAACTCCATCGATATCTGGTCTGTGGGCTGCATCTTTGCTGAGCTGCTGGGCAGACGGATCCTCTTTCAGGCCCAAAGTCCAATCCAGCAGGTAGAGTGAGCGTCAGCTCCGGTACACCGCCGTTCACTCACTCGTCCGTCCATCCTCAGCAGCCTCGGCGTACATTATTGAACAACCGCTGGAGACAACCGCTCCCTCACAGACTTAAAACGTCATCTTGGATGTTGGTCAGCGACAGAAACAACCGCTGTAAAAAAAAACTCACAAAATCCTCAGCCACATTATTTCAGGTTGAAATAAAGGGAGTAAATATGTGTGTGATTGTTTCTGACGGCTGGGAAAAAAAAGCTAAAGAGTCTCTCATTACAATAGGCCGTTCAAATCTGCACCGGCAGAACCTCTCGCTTTTGTTGTCAGCTATGCAGTTGATCCTGTTGAACTTTTGACTAACCTGCAGCCACGGCCCCTGCATTTCAGTCAGAAAACACAGCTTCTCTCAGAGGAAACTGTTGTGGTTGTAAATGTTTGGGTAAAAAAAACCTCGACAACAGAATTTCACACACTCATAACGTTTGGGTAAGAGCCCTGGTCGAACTGGTCGAACTGTTTTGGTCATTTATTTTATAAAAAAAAAATAGTATTTACTTTGAAGATTTTTTTTTTGTTCCAGTCTTTAATGTGTGTGTGTGTGTGTGTGTGTGTGTGTGTGTGTCGTAGCTGGACTTGATCACTGACCTTCTGGGGACTCCGTCCATGGAGGCCATGAGGACGGCGTGTGAAGGGGCTCGTGCTCACATTCTCAGAGGACCTCACAAACAGGTAAAAACAAACATGCGTGTGATTATTAAACAGGTGTTATCAGGTCATTACATCAGAAAGGCGTTCTGGTACAGCTACAGTGAGATTTGTTTTTGTTTTTTTGTCTAAACTACTGGAAGAAATCTGAAAATTAATTTTTTTTGTAAAAACTGCGTTTTTTAGTATTTTTAAAAAAAATATATTTTAATAATTCTCTGCATATATTTAATAAAGAACCTGGTATCTGATGCTGCACATTCATCAAACTCAGGTCCGGGGGCCAAATCTGGCCCAGTATATAGACCTTATATACAGATTCAATGTTTATGCAAAACTAAACTTTGTTTCCATATGAAAAACATTCTGGAGAGAAGGGAAAACACGAACAATCCCAGTCAATTTTTCAATAAATATTAAGTTTGGCCCGAGACTTCGTCCTGGTTTTTAATTTGACTCCCCTGACGTCCCTGTGGTACTGGGTCTCACGGTTGTGTCCAGCTGTATTGTGAAGAGCTCTGAGTGGTCATCCAGATCAGAATAGTACAGTATAAGCACAGAGCGCTGACCATCTGTTGTTTGTTTTGTCTGCAGCCATGCCTTCCTGTTCTCTACACACTTTCCAGCCAAGCCACCCACGAAGCTGTCCATCTTCTCTGCAGGATGCTGGTCTTTGATCCTGTACGTCTTTCTCAAAATATATATTAAAAAAAACAACAACAACATTCAGACACTTTAACTAAAAGATATGCTGGGAGAAAAAAAAAGAACTGCTTCAAGCTGTGAGGACCTAGGGTTTAAAACAAAAATCAAAAACAAAACAACAGCAGGATCTTGGCTGCATTACGTTTAGTTTACGTTTTTTTTTAGGTCCTGTCATCGAGGCATCAACATGTCCAGAAAAAGAGTCGTCTTCGAGTCTGAGTTACTGAAAAACAATCCCTAAGATTCTGAGTCCAGGTCTTGGAGGAGCAGTAAAACCCTGACCCTGACACTTCCTGTAAACAACTCCACGAAAAGTTATTATGACGACTGATAATTTTATTTATTTGGTGCAAATTTTAGGATCTAAACCAGACATGGCCAAACTAAGGCCCGGGGCCCGGATGTGGCCCGTTTGGCTTTTTAATCCGGCCCATCAATCTTTTCCAAATTATATTATTAATTTATATTATTATTATATCATTCGGCCTTTTCCCCGCAATGACTGCATTTCCCCAATAGATGGCGTAGAATGCATAAAAAAACTTTACTGTAAATTGACAACAACAAAACCACATTTCCATCTGGTGGTACCACTACTCCTCTCTCTCTGTGTCTCTCCGCAGTCAAAGAGAATCTCAGCTAAGGACGCTCTGGCTCACCCCTACCTGGACGAGGGTCGACTGCGCTACCACACGTGCATGTGCAAGTGCTGCTACACCACCTCCTCGGGCCGCGTGTACACCAGTGACTTTGAGCCCATCACTAATCTCAAGTTTGATGACGGCTTCGAGAAGAACCTGAGCTCTGTCAGACAGGTCAAAGGTCAGGTCAAGTCCACACATTTAAGAAGGTTTTAAGGTTATATACATATATATAAATATATATTTATACACATGTGCATACATATATATATATACATATATAAAATGTATATTTACACACATATATACATACATACATAAAATATATATTTACACATATATACATATAAATATATAAAATATATATTTATACATATATACATAAATACATACGATATATATTTTAACACATGTGTACATATATATACATATAAAAATATAAAATATATATTTACACATGTTTACATGTATTCTATACAGTATATATGTATATATGTTTTTTTAATTTATGTTATTATCCTTCCCTTCTTATTTCTGATTCTCACTTCCTGATCCTAGAATATATTTGTAGTTGTTTTTTTTTGACAGTTTGTACAGTTATTATGTTAATGTTGAGGTGTAACAGAGCACCGTTTTAGTCGTGGTCTAAACGGCCGTGTTGTGTTTGTCTGACAGAGATCATCCATCAGTTCATTCTGGAGCAGCAGAAAGGGAGTCGAGTGCCGCTCTGCATCAACCCCCAGTCTGCTGCTTTTAAAAGCTTTATCAGGTAAAAGGTGCCTTTTTTTTCTTCTTCTTCTTCTTCTCTTGTCAGTTTCCCTGTTATTAACCCACGACATCCTCCTGTACACCAGAGAACAAACCCCCCCCCCAACCTCCCCCCTGATTTAGAAACCTTTCCTCCACTATCTTGACTTGATCCATTTTTTTTTGTAATGTTATTTTTCTTTAAAGACTAAAAACAGTCAGACTAAAACAGTCAGAATAGTCAGGCTAAGATGATAGTTAGACTTAATTACTTAATAGTTTTTTTCTTTTGTGGGGTAAAAATATTGATTATAGTATTAGTAAAGATAATACTTAATAATTTATGATCAGCATAATTTATTTAAAATTATAACCCATTAAATTTCAAAAATTCAATTATGAATTCTAAAGCTAAGGGGTGTGTATATATATATATATAAATATATGTTATTATTATTATTAGTATTTAATAATTATATTATTTTGTGCACTAGATGGTGCTCAATCCTACACAGTTTCCATGTTAAATTTCACAAAGTCATGCAGTTTGGACATTGATATTTGTTTTTTGAGATCACAGAATGTAATTATTTATAAAAATATGAACTCACACACACCGTGGAGAACGACTAATGTGACGCTGATCTCCCGGTGAACAGCTCCACAGTGGCTCAGCCGTCTGAAATGCCTCCGTCTCCGCTGGTGTGGGAATAGTCGCTGCTGCTGCTGCCGCTGTGACGTCATCGGCCCCAACTGACACGCTGCTAAACCGGGAACAAAGAGCGCATCTCAGCGTCTTCTCTAATCTCTGTAGCATTTCACTGGAGAGCAGGCCTGGTGAGGAACAGTCCACTGGTAACGGCTTCACGGTCTGTAGCAGAGGGTTTGGGGCGGGAAGGGAAGGAACGAAGAAAAAAGCTCTGAAGACCAAAATACTGAATATTGGAGACAAACCCACGTGCCCATGTCCAGGTAGTTTAGATGAAACCTATCTGATATATGAAGTCAATTAATTATTATTATTTCTTTCTTCTTATTTTCTGTACATTATTACAAGTTTTAAATGTCAATTTTCAAAGTTCTTGTAATTGTAATTAGACTCGTCTGCTTCACTGCGTCCACCTTAAAAACACACACACACACACGCCGTCTGCTTCTTGTTTAGACAATCGATTCGAGCGAGTTGATAGTGTAGGTGCAACATTAGACGTGCTAGTTTCTCTATTTTATCCAAAAACTAATTTAACTTATTGGAAGCCTAGTGTCCACAGTGTTCCTAATATTTGGTCCTGGTTTTTAAACACGAAACATTTTGTTTGCCAAAGACGAGGGAATCACGTATAAAATGTCACACTGTTCGTTCTGCAAATTGTAGCAGCACATTTTCAGACATTGAACCGAGTCTGACGAGTGTCAGGCATTTGGAAAGGTCGAGTGGGGTCAGCGAGGGTCAGCGAGTCCAAAGTCGACTCTTTTTATATGTTATTTTTTACAAAAACACTGGTAGAAGTTTAAAAAAAATGCACTTAAAAGAATGAAGTATAAAGAAGATAAATATAACAAAGTGTATATTCGTGTACATGCAGTACATGAAGTTAGATTTTGCATGATTTAATTTATGAATGAGTTTATAATGAAGATAAAACTAAGTGAACAAGTGTCTGGTTTTTACCTGAAACGCCAAAAACAAATTTCAGTCCCTTTGGCTAAAATCTGTATCCTTTTAAATTATTATGTTTATGTATAATCCTGAAAGTGAAAGGTCTAAAACGACACAAACAGCAGTTTGTGAAGCTGAACAGAAGACCAGGTGAAAAACTTTTTTTTTTTTCCTGCTTCCCAACAAGCCAAACCTATTTTCCGTCAAACACTGACATAACTGTTTACGTCACATTCAAGCAAATGAAGTATAACGAAGAGCAATAGACAAAACATGATCCACTCGCCTCTCACACGTCTGCAGAACTTCCTGTGCTTCACCTTCGCCGTGCACTAACTGCTGTTGTCTGTCCAAACAAACTCTTCCCATTTTCTTCTATTTAAAGTGAATGCAAAATGTCTTTCCCCCCGACAAGAACTGCAGGTGTGTGTACAGTTAAATCAAGTTGACGGAAGTGTATCTCTCTCTCATAGTAAGGAGACAAAAAAAATTTAATTTGAATAAACTTCAAAACAATTAAAGTACTTATCATGTTCTCCACCAGGGGAGCCCTTTCAAGTGCTATTCAACCTTAAGTACCCTCATTGCCCATTGGTAAAATGAAAACCTGTAGCTAGCAGTGTGTTAGCAGGACAACTTCTCAGTACCTCTGAGTGCAGTAAAAGTATGTATACTTCAGTGAAAGTATTCTACAGAACTATGAAAATACACAACTTTGATCAGTTGTGTTGTTCATTAGTTGTTAATCTATATTTTTTTGCCTGCGTTGGTCACTAAGGCCGACACAGCAGTTCTCACTAATGGGTTGTTGACGTTCATTAGTTGTTAATCTATATTTTTTGCCTGCGTTGATCACTAAAGCCGACACAACCGTTCTCGCTCATGGGATGTTGACAGCTAGCTAAGAAGCTAAATCACCACTTTGGGTGAACCAAAGTTTGAAATTAGTAGTAAATGTTTGAAATTAAAATATGGAAAAAATAGGTGATGATGGGTTTGTCACTAGTAGCTGCTAATGCTGCTACTGAGAATAGAAAGAAAAAAGAAGTAAACATTACCTCAGAGGGTTGTTACTGGGGAGTAAAGAAACAAAGATTTACTCACAGGTCACACGGTTGACCAGGAGTCTGCTCCTCCTCTGCTCTGTCTTCTTAGTCTCAGTGCAGTTCACATCCTTTTGGTGCCACACTGCCACCTCCTGGTCATTTTGTTCTCATCTTCTCTGTTGAAGCCTCCTCAACCTTCTTCAGGAATCCCTAGAAAAGATATTCTTTTTAATCATTTCATTCCTACACATCCCAGAATGCCTTGTATATGTACAGTTCTTACCTAATCTGTCCATTCTGACTGTGGACCAATAACACTGCTGTGTCTATGACCGAAAGCCCCGCGTTAGCTTGTTTAAGCTAATCTATACTTGAACCGACCGGCGTTTATCTCTACACTCACGTCAATTGGCTTTATGTTCAGTTAGCGTCGGTTTTGTCTGTACCCATACCTATCAACCTGTGTAGATACGTTCTTTTTACCTGTTATTTGTCCTGATGAAAAAGGCATGGTCATTATACACTGCTGTTTACACCACTTTCCCTGCAAACGCACTGGTTTATACGTTACTTTCTGCATGTGCCATAAACGAAACTCACATATATATAAAACTACGTATCTTAAATTAGCCAAATTCCCCAACATCTTCACGTCTCTGTCCACTCCAGATATAAACACTGTCTTTGCATTTTTATTCCTTTTCTTACTAGACTTGACACTGGTAGTGCGCCTATAAAATATATTTTTAAAAAATGATAAGAATAGGAGGAAATTCAGAGCAAAGAAAGTTGTATTAAGTTTGTAAAACAAAAAATTATATGGCTTTGTTTTGTTTTGTTTCTTTTTGTTTGTTTTTGTTCTTTGTTCAACAGATATGTTGTCGATTATGATCCCATTTAGAGGAAAATACAGACAAAATCGCAGGTGAAGTGAAAACGGTGTGGAATTAGACAGCGCAGGCCGATCGGGCAGCGTCCTAAATGATGGGTTGTGACCTAACAGTACTTCCTAACTACGAAGCACAACCTCGAGTTAACTTTGTGGCACCTGTTGTCTCAACCGCTGCTCGTTTATTTGGGAAAGAATTCAAGCAATTAATTAAGTTTTAGACTTAAGAGAGAGAGAATTAGCATTTAGCACATTCTCTACTTAACGCAATCTAATTATACGGGGAATGGCTATTTATGAAAAAAAAAAGCGTTTTGCTAGGCCCTGGCATTAAAGTGTTAACTCAGGTAAAGTGTGGGTTTACTGGCTCGATCATTTGAGAACCACTAGAGGGCAGACTTAGGTGTTTTTGGCCATGGTGGGTTTTGGCCGAGGCGTTACGAGCAGAGACCCTCAGGTTTTTCTTAGACTTTGTGGTCCAACCGTGACATGATGGTGCAGTGTTGGTTGGTGACACTGCTGTGCTCTTCCTCTTGGAGTGTGACTTTCTTTGGACGACGCGACAGAACTGACAGTTTTACTAAAACACACTGAACCAGGGTTGAAAACAAAACCAGTAAAACCAGCAATACCATCGTCGTTCAGCATCTTTCATCCTAGAACCTGGGTAGAAAAACACGGACTCTTCCTTCAACCAACACACGTAGCATAACGGACTAGCGTACAAGTCATGGCATGGACTCTACAGAAAACAGCACTTAATTACGCACCGACGCCACCTATCTCCTCATACATGTAAACTCCACAGAATGAGCTCTGAAGTGAAACCTTTGAAATATTTTTCTGATTTTTTTTTCCTTCCTACACCTGTTTTGTCCCAGCGCATGCATTATCCCAACACCCCTCCCTCCCTCTCCCACACACCCCTCCTCTCACCCCCCCCAGTATGATTCTGTACATATGTGAAATAGAAGTGGGTCAACACACACACACACTCTCACACACACACCTGAAAACATCAATACCACTGTATAGAAATTGTATTAGCCTGCACATTTCTAAGGCTGTGAAGTTAATTTTTATTTTTTAGAAATTGCATACAAATGTGTATATATATTTTCTTGATTTTTGAACCTGCAACTAGGGCGTGTAGAGGTCAACGAGTCAGAGAATACATAGTCATGTTTAAATGTTGAATCTTGTTTGTATGTTCAGCAGAGTTGTAGATCTATCTGAGGAGGGAGGAGAAACCTTTTGTTTTTTTTTTTGGGTGGGGAGTGTGGGGGGGGGGTCACTGGGTGTTAACGACTTCATCACTGCAGCACTGTGTGAATATGTACAGTACATGGAACTTTCACCTGTTGGTCTCTACCTCTGACTTGGCTTTGTTCACCTCCTCACTTTTCCGGTTTTCCTCCGTGGGGGTGAGATGAAAACACTTGAATTCAAGCTACTTGAATTCAAGCTTTTTTTACTGAGATAATGGTGAAAAAATAAGCCTCCTACCAGCCTGTCCTGCACTAAACTAAACTAAACGCGACTCATTCACCTGAACGTTTTGAATCGTCTCACAGTTTGTATCACTTCGCCCAAATAGCCAAGAGTTTCCTGACTGTTAGTCATTTCCAGCCTTTTAATAAAGTGGAGGGAACCTGACGGGGAGGGAAATTCACCACGTCCGCCACAGTGGCTGTGTTTGAAGTTCATTCATAAAAATAATTTTGGGGACAAAGTTCGTCATGAATTAAGAAATTTAGAAATAATGTTTTGGTCGATTCACTCATGTCTTATCACTCAAACAGACTCCTGGGTGGATTCAGTCAGGCGTGAGAACAGACCTTAACACTAAAAAGAAGGTTGACTCAAGGTCACAAGGTCGATTCTGACCAATGCCTTGCCAGAGAAGCAGGACGAAATTAAATTAAATCTTTAGCAGATGGTTTCCATGTCACCTCTTAAATCCAGGGAATTAAATGTAATCGTAAACATCAACCAGACCAGAGCAAAGTTATGAGGGTAGATCAGATCAAGATGTACTCATTTTTAAGGTGTATCTAATAATAACTAAAAAAAGTCAGAAATTAAGGTGTATCTAATAATAACAACAACACAAAAAAAAAAATCAAAAAAGAAGTCGATTTCATTTGTTTAGATGAGACAAAGAAACAGGATGTGACCTGGTCTGTAGACGGACGCCTCCAATGGAAACACAGGCTGCAGATGTGTTTAACTTCAGACCTAAACTGAGGAGATGAAAAGAAAAAAAGAATTGTTATTGACATGAATATTCATGAAAGTTTTTTCAAATTTTCTTAGGAATATTTTTCTTACCTTCAGTATTTTTCTTTGGTCTAAAAAATAATGAAGCAAAGTCAACATGGCAGATTAAGGAAAAAATATTCAAAATAAAGCACTGGTTAATTAGGGATTAACAAACACAAAATTCACGCCTTCAAATTTACCATCGTGTCGTCTTATTGAAACTGAAAATCGTTCGTCATCCAACATCGCGGACCATCTCTGACCAATCAATAAACTACATAAAAAAATCCTTATTGGGAACTAAATTAAACAATTTCTCAGGAATGAACACAGTCAGCGGTGGTGCAGGTCACTTTCCCTCCACGTCACATCTCCTGCTTCTCTACTCTTTGTATAGAACATCACGTTTTCTGTATTTTTCTTTTTTTCCTTTTTTTTTTTTTTAAATGAAGTACTTGAATGAAACAATGCTCACTTTGAAAAAACAAACAAAAAAAAAACAATTGTAGAGTTAACAACCAAGAAACCTTGTTTGAGAGATTAACCACGAGTCAACAACTACTGGACTATTTGGATTCCTATAATTTTGCTGTACTAAACCCATGTCTGTGTATTTGATGTTTTAATCAGATGCATTGTAATTTGAATAAACGTTGCAGTATATAAAGGTACGCCTCTTGTGGTGACAGCCTCATACAGCACCAAACACACACACACACACACCTGGACTTTATCACTTTAACCTTAACTATTACAATATATAGATAGATAGATATTTAATCCTAATCCTTACCAAATGTGATATATATATATATATATATAATCCTAATCCTTACCAAATGTCCCCATAAAACACAGGCGTAAAAGATGTCCCCACAAGCATAGCTACACCAGGAACACACACACATGATAAGTCATAATAATGTATTTATAAATATATATCATATGTATAATACAGAAGAATCTTCTTCTCTTTTTGAAATGGTTTGTTATTGTGAATATAATGTGCCAAAGAAAAAAACTGATGGTTGACATAAACAGACGGTCGGATGTGGATGGATTCTAATATTTCACAGGATGCTGGATGTTAAATAGTTAAATTCAGAGAAATAAAAAAAAAAACCACAAGAAATTTATAATTTTGTGGTCGTTAAAAAAAAAAAACATTTTCATTTAAAGTGCATTTGTTTGTGTTTTAAAATGGTCGACAACGCCATGTCTTTTTTAACCCTTGATGTTGGATCCTCCCGTTTCCCAGGTTCAGGGATCGGGGTGTGCGTGAGGGGTGGGGGGCGTGGCCTCCTGCCCAATCCCGTTACAAGAAAGCACTAACTTTTTTGGAATCTGAAAAACAGAATGAACAACAACAATTCAACAAACTCTCCTCCTGCGGCTGAACTGGGTAAATGATCCACTAAAAAAAACTGTGGTTCAAAATAAAAACATTTATTTATAAAAGATAAAAGTAGTGACCAGTCTGGAAGCTTTGACGATGTAACAAAGTAAACTTCTTACTGTTTGAATTTTTTTTTATTAATATTTTAAAAATAATATGTAGAAAATATACACTGATAAACTGTAAGTGTCTGGTGTTTTTTTTATTCAAATACCTTAACTCAGGTTCATAAAACAGGTTTCTAACCTCGTTCTTAAACGTCTGAGGTGAATTAGTTGTGTTTACAGACCTGAGCCAGTAGATCTTCGGTCGTTCCCCTGGTTCTTGGCGCAGTCATCGTTCACAGACAATCGGTCCTCGTGGAACAGCAGTGGAGAAAGGTCCAACTGCAGGAGAACACAAACACTTCAAGACCAAGTGTGTGTGTGTCTGTGACCAGTGGGTGGCGCCTTAGTCACATGTACCTACCGCTCTGTAAAAGTCTCGTCCTGGTATGGACATGGTGGTCAGGGTGACCTCGTCCCCACTCTTTCTGATCAGCTGGACAATGTCCTCGTGCTGCGAGGACTCCACGGGTTCACCGTTGACGGCCAGCAGCAGATCTCCATCCTCCATGCCCGCTCCTTCAGCTGGACTTCCAACATCGATCTCCCTCAGCACGTGAACTGGGACACCAAAGAATTAAAGAAAAATAGAAAAATATACTAAGTACCCTCTGAGATTCAAACTGAGGGTGGAGACCCCTGGTCCGGAGCGTCTCGGTCTCACCTTTTCTTTCCTGGCCCACCAGCTTCTCCTGCCTCAGCAGAAAGCCGTAGCCGTCGGCGCCCTTCTCCAGGTGCATGGTCTTGGCGGCGTGGGGAATGCTGCAGCACTGGGCTATGACGGGCAGGATGGGCATCTTCCTCCTGACGTAACAGGCTTCGCTCTCGCTGTCAGCGACCAGAAGAGTCACCGAGTTCCCGCTCTTCTTCCCCTGAGCAGGAAACACACGTGTGACATTTGACATGGACCGTGACAAATGTTTGGACTTGTTGGAGACCGTACACCTACAGCTTTGACGAGATGGGAGTGAGTCAGCATCGAAACCAGGGCTCCGTTGATCCAGATCAGTCTGTCGCCCGTGCAGACGCCGGCTTTCTCTGCTGCACCGTCTGGTACCGTACACACCATGTACTGACCCTTCTGACCTGATGACATCACCATCGTGTCACCGCATTAAACCTTATTTACTTCTTCAGGACTGGTCTTGTTTTAAAGATCACTTTTAAATGAATCATCTTGGAACTTTTCACTGAAAATTCCAATACAGAAATCGAATAATTTCCGACTAAAAACACACAAGAATTCCATACAGTACATCCCAGTACCTTCCACAGCAACTATGGTCATCCCCAGGCCGTGTTCTGGCTCTTTGCTGATGTGACATAGTCTAGGTCTGGTCCAGTGGTCTCCCTTGGCGAGCTTCACCAGCATCTTCAGGTCCAGACCCATAGACATGGACTAGAACCAAAGACAACACAGCACCATGGAGTCAAACCTGCTGTTTGTTTTGGGTTTTTTTTTTGGTCAGTTTGTACAGTCGACAGTTCACCTGTTCATACTCTTCTTTTCTCAACACCAGGAGAAACAGATGTACGCCGCAAGACTGAATCTTCCTCATCACCTGCAGGGGGAGAAAAAACACACAGATATAAATAACATTTTTTAATGTAAGTTGGCATGAATACATAATATATATTTTCCTGGCAGTTTTAGTTCTTCATAAACTTAAACATAAATACTTGTACAAAATATAAATGATTTAAAATGGTAAAATAAAGGACAGAAGGGACGTAACGATACATCGGGAATGGGTTAAAAAAATCAATAAATTGTGTGACAATTCGCATTGGTTTAAATCTAAAAAATGAATCGCGATTCATGATGATCTCGCAAAAATCTCTGGTCATACTATGACACTACACACTCTAGTACAGTAGGGGGCAGTATGCGCCTAAAAACACTAGTTGAGACGTCAGGTCCCTACGTAGCCTAAGTGACATTTGGGTGTTCAAACAGAACATGGGAAGAACTTGTTCCACAGACAGAGTTTCTGTAAAAAAGGAACGGTGAAAATGTACGATAACAGATTCTGGATGAAATGAAATTTTCCAACATTTTGGGACACTGACCGTATAAAAGTCCTTGTCAGCCACATATTCCTCGTTGACCTCCAGGAGCCTGTCTCCATCTTTGAGGCCACTGCACTCGGCAGGACTCCACCGTTCCACACCTCTGACCTCAAATGAGTGGTGGGTCTGGTCCACCCGCATGTAGAAGCCAAAACTCTGGCCCTCCATACGCTTCAGGTAGCACAGTTTGGGAACCAGACTGCTGTCTGGCTCTACACACCAAAGACGTTATATTAAATTTCCGACTAAAAACACACAAGAATTCCATACAGTACATCCCAGTACCTTCCACAGCAACTATGGTCATCCCCAGGCCGTGTTCTGGCTCTTTGCTGATGTGACATAGTCTAGGTCTGGTCCAGTGGTCTCCCTTGGCGAGCTTCACCAGCATCTTCAGGTCCAGACCCATAGACATGGACTAGAACCAAAGACAACACAGCACCATGGAGTCAAACCTGCTGTTTGTTTTGGGTTTTTTTTTTGGTCAGTTTGTACAGTCGACAGTTCACCTGTTCATACTCTTCTTTTCTCAACACCAGGAGAAACAGATGTACGCCGCAAGACTGAATCTTCCTCATCACCTGCAGGGGGAGAAAAAACACAGATATAAATAACTTTTTTATGTAAGTTGGCATGAATACATAATATATCTTTTCCTGGCAGTTTTAGTTCTTCATAAATTTAAACATAAATACTTGTACAAAATATAAATGATTTAAAATGGTAAAATAAAGGACAGAAGGGACGTAACGATACATCGGGAATGGGTTAAAAAAATCAATAAATTGTGTGACAATTCGCATTGGTTTAAATCTAAAAAATGAATCGCGATTCATGATGATCTCGCAAAAATCACTGGTCATACCATGACACTACACACTCTAGTGCAGTAGGGGGCAGTATGCGCCTAAAAACACTAGTTGAGACGTCAGGTCCCTACGTAGCCTAAGTGACATTCGGGTGTTCAAACAGAACGTGGGAAGAACTTGTTCCACAGACAGAGTTTCTGTAAAAAAGGAACGGTGAAAATGTACGATAACAGATTCTGGATGAAATGAAATTTTCCAACATTTTAGGACACTGACCGTATAAAAGTCCTTGTCAGCCACATATTCCTCGTTGACCTCCAGGAGCCTGTCTCCATCTTTGAGGCCACTGCACTCGGCAGGACTCCACCGTTCCACACCTCTGACCTCAAATGAGTGGTGGGTCTGGTCCACCCGCATGTAGAAGCCAAAACTCTGGCCCTCCATACGCTTCAGGTAGCACAGTTTGGGAACCAGACTGCTGTCTGGCTCTACACACAAAAATCATTATATTAAAATCATTTCATCAGCGCTGGAGAGGGGAAGTGGGTGTAGACGGAGTGTGTTTTAAACTCACCAGGGTCGTCAGTGATGACCAAGGCTGGATTATCAATGCCCTCTCTTGGATTGAAGGTGAAACTGCAGTTCAAAGGGGAAAATGAAAAAAGCAGATAAATGTTGTAAAAAATGTTACATATGGAATTTAGCCATAGGAAAAAAAAATGTTTATTTTGAAAAAGTCTAGACTAGTTTTCTTCTTCTTAAGGTTTTAAAAAAGGTTTATTCACACAGTCCAGATCAACAGTTGCTCATGGCAAAATTTTAAACCTGATGCGGTAGAACAACAGACAAGGAGGAAAACTTTAAATCCCATGATCAAATATTTCACTTAAGTATTAAAGTATGAGAGAGGCAACATTTTCAGTGACAGGGAATAAAAGCACTTCTGGAGGTTATTTATTCAGCATTTTGTCAATTTTTAAGGTAAACTATTAGCGTCACCCTCTTGACAGTCCAGATCAACAGTTGCTCATGGCAAAATTTTAAACCTGATGCGGTAGAACAACAGACAAGGAGGAAAACTTTAAATCCCATGATCAAATATTTCACTTAAGTATTAAAGTATGAGAGAGGCAACATTTTCAGTGACAGGGAATAAAAGCACTTCTGGAGGTTATTTATTCAGCATTTTGTCAATTTTTAAGGTAAACTATTAGCGTCAACCTCTTGACTCATCACAGGGTTATACGTTAGCAAAATACCGAGTTCTAAAAACCCTAAATACTCAGTCTGGTTTGTGTGCTGTTTTTTTTTTTTCTGGTAATTTAAGGAACAACAGAACACCGGGGTCCCTCAGGGTTGTACGCCGAGCCCCTTCCGCTGGTCTACACCTTGATATATATATATATATATACAAGGTACACGTCTGGAGCTGTCAATACTCACCGTGGCACGTGGACGGCATCCTGGCAGCCTGAGGGAACCAATGAGAGAAACACAGTGAGGTCCCGCAGCTACGTCACCACTAAGCACCTGAGCCTGTTGTTCACACTGTTGATAATGATTTACTCATCAACCACCATAACCAAGGAGGTACTTTAACCCCACCAAGAAGCACCTTCTGTCCACAAAGAGTGGCCAAGTCATGGGCTCAGACAATAAGAAAAGTATCTTTATACTGCAGTTAATACGGTCAACAACAACAGAAGAAGAAGAAACATGAACTTTTTTAAAAAAAACTCACAAAACAAAACACAAGATTTTGGTCTGTTCTTTTTCTGTTCTGCCCACTTGATAACAAAGACATGATGGTGTCAAAGTGCAACTTTGAGACGACGACACAGCTTTAACCACAGTTTCACTTCCTCAATATTTGCTGTTTGGTTTTATAATGTTTTTATTTCTTCAGTCACTGCCTCAGCACTAGGTAGAGTACTAACTATGGTACTGTACTATTTTCATTTACAGCAGGAGATAAAGTCAGTATTATTGTTGTTATTATTCAACCTTACTGTGATTATTCAATGTTGATGTCTGTCTGGAACAGAGCCTGGCTTCAATTTAAGAAAAAGTCAAACTTATGGAACTCCCAAAAAGAACTCCTGGCGGATTAATTAAAGTTCTATCTCTCTCTATATACAGTATCTACCTAAAATAAAATGGAAGGCAATTGGTTGCGTGAACGCTGCCTGCAGACAGTTCAAGAAGGAGTCAGAGGGTTTTAAAAAAACCACAGGTTCTGCGGAGGTCAGACACTGCAGCTTTGGAGCCGAGAGATTTGAATATACAAATGATGAAACGCTGTGTGTCGACCTACCTGTGGAGGAGCTCATGGAGTCCTGAGTGAGCGTTCCTGTTCTGGCAGAGACACTGGATGGACGAGTTTCACAGCACACAGAAAACACAGTGAGTGAGAGCGAGGTGAGAATGAGATTCCTGCCTCTGGGTTAAACATTTACCCTGTGAGCTCAGCGCTCCACAACTTCATGGAAAACTGCAGTTTTACTGCATATACATGTAGTACAGGTCAACTGCACATTGGTAACAAGCAACTGATATTTTCAAGTGATCAAAAACTTTGTGTTCTTCCTTATGTAACTAGAACAACTGAGGTGATGACCGTGCAATGTGGCTTTACTCCCAGTAGGGGGAACTCGAGGTACAGATTTCAATGTATATAACTGGAGGCAATTTATTTCTCTGGAGTTGACAACACATGTCAAACAAAAACATAACAAGCTTCCAGGGCAGGTTATAGGTTCAGGCAAATGAATGGATGGAGGTTTAAGTTAGAATTGCCCCACGACTGGGCAACTTTAATAACTAGCCATGACGCCTTAATATTTCCGTGTTAACTAAATAAAAACTAAATACGTAGATAAAAGTGCGTAGATTTGTGTGAAATATGAATTTTATTCTTATTTTCTATAGAAACACGTCGACTGTTTTAGTCTTCACCTAAAATATTTGTGTCTTTTAAAATACAATAAAAATACTTTAGGGTTAGTTTTGTTTCTATTTGTAACTATCTCGCTGCAAAGGAACTTGTAACATTTGCGTTAAGCCAAATGAAACTCAGCGTTTCAACATTTTTCCTTGTTATTTTTTCAAAAATTCACAATCCACAGTGGCACATTTAAATTAACCCCACAGACATGACCCTAAATTCACCCTGTGTTAGAAGACCAGTGACTTTCTTACCATGATATGGAGCCGTAGCTGTTGACTGGAGAAGCCGTTAAATGCACAGGAGAAACAACCTTGAATCGCATTGTTCTATCCGTCCTTCAGTAAGAGGATGAACCCAAACCAAAATAAAACTCAACTGGTTTATTATGTCACTTTTTTTTAATCCACATTTGCTCAACTGTTGAGTCCCCTCCCACTAACGAACCTTCTCCAGGTTTTTGCTGACACGCCCCCACCCCCACTACACGTGAGGCTTCGTCAAAATACCCTAAAGCAGGATTAAGTGGAAGTGTAAACAGTCATGTTTTCATTAAAATGGACGTTCCATTATTTGAAAAAACTGAGTTATCCTATCAGGTTTCAGGAGTCACATTTCTACGGCTTCCAAAAAGCCTCCTATCACAGAAATACCGGTCATTCCGAAATTGCAACAAACCGTAAAAAGTAAACATGTTGTACTGTTTCTTTCTTGTACAAAAACTAATACAAAACCGTGGAAAGTTACAAAAGTAAAACCGCAAAAAGGGAGCGCGAGCAGTCGAACTGATGACACCGAGCAAACGAGCAACGGGTGAGGGTGATTAAGACGAGTCCGGTAATCGATAGTGACAGATATGAAGCCGGAAGTAAGTCGGTCTGTAGTGGGCGAACGTGGTAAACATTTCAAAATAAAACACAACGCAAGTTGGGCACGAATAGAGCAACTGAAATCCACTTGCAATATTGATCCCCGCGTCTTCTTTAAAAATCATTTTAGTCTTTTATCTCTCTGAGTTTGTTCGTTTATTTTGTACATTTAAAAAAAGAAACAACAGAATTCAACTTGTCAAAATAAAACAAAATTAAGCGAACCAATGTAAAAGGGCACGACCTGGTGGACGTGGTGTGTAAGTGCAGACAGGCGACCTCCCTTTAAGTTTTCATTATTGGTTCAGGTTTACAGGGAGACAACTAAAGCTTATATATAATAATGCTTTAGTAATAAAATGTGCTAAAATAAAATGCTTAATTGAAAAAAAAATAGACAAATTTCTGTGTTTACCTTTTAATAAATCAACTCCATGCTGGGAAAGTTAGTATTTCACATATGGCAGATTTTTTTTTTCATGGAGATGGAGATTTAATATATATGAAACTGGAAGACTTTACTTACAGTACATTTCATGACCTTCTGTCTCTTTTTGTAAACTTTATAACCAGTCACTTGATTTTTTCCCCCCACAAAACTCTTCCTAGGGGGTTGAAAACAGCCAATATGTGCAAAATGTTCACTTGTCTCTTGGCAAATGCCTTAAAAAAACAGCCTGAGTCAGTTTAAGTGCTAAAGCCGTAGAAGGAGCAGTGAATTACTAACCTAATGTCCCGTCTGCTGCATGCTTTGGCCTCCTTGAAGAATTCCCCTGGACAACCTGTGAACAGTCTGAGCCACAGATTCTTCAACTCAGCAGCTGATATGTTAATAGTGAAATTCAACCAATGCCGTTAATAATGTGTCTTTTCTTTGCTTGTTGATATTGCTTTTTAAAAATCATTATTTGTCGTATCCTCAGGGTGGAGGGAGGTTGTCGTTTTTGAGCATCCGCAGAGTTTGTCGAACTCCCTTCTCCACCCTGCGGAAATGCAACCTCTTCCAGAGGCTCGGCTGCTGCTGACGGCCCCACTCCAGATCCCTGAGGAACACCTGCATGCAAAAGGCAAATTTAATTCACTGTGACGCAGGAGTGCACGGACGGTGCCATACTCAGTGCAAATTAGCAGCTAGTGGATTTGAACTTGTGACCTCCTGGACCCAAGTCTGCTTCCTTAGCCACCAAGCCAAACAAACTGACTGCCTTACTTCACAATATGCATCTAATCCTGTGAAAGTGCATGTAAAATCGAGACTTCTTGCTGTTGGAGAGTGTCGTTGCTTACTGTAACCGTTAGATGGCGGTAATTCCCTCGTGTGTTCAAGGAACATTACTGGGCTTTATTATCAAATTATGTATGTGTCTGTACATCAAAATAACTAGTAATAGTTTGTTTATTTAAGAAAATTAAATGTTAAAAGTGGAACATCTTAACATAAAATTATAAAATTTTCAACATTATCAAAACATGTGTCTTGACTGAATACCTGAAGCTGCTGCTGGACACGCTGACGATCCCAGGATGATGCGTTTTTCCGTATCACATTGAGGATGGGATGCCAGTCCTCGGAAATATCCGACCCCTCTGTGACTGAAGCCAGAACCTTGACTCGGCGGCCGGTTCTGTGCGGATCTCCTCTCACGTAGAGGGATTGTTTCCCCACGTCACTGAGGGCGTTCAGATACAAACTGCACACAGACAAAACATCAACAAGTGTTTGCTTTAACTTACATTTTTTTACTTCTGCACTTGTCATTTAGCTTAGTTACTTTGTGCTGAGTCTTTCTGTAATAATGCACAGGTTCTTTATGAGAATGGAGAGGTTTCTGGTTCTTACTGCACAGTGTGAATACTGGGATGCTCCCTGCAGGCGTCCACCAGAGCCAGAGCGGCGTTGTCGCCGATGTTGTTGTAGGCCACATTGAGCTCCTGGAGTACCGGGTGCTGCTGCAGCCTCTGGGCCAGCTCCAGGGCCCCCTGGTCCCCAAGTCCAGTGTGCATCAGAGACAGATGTGTCAGAGACTGGTTCCCCTGCAGGGCCTCCAGCAGAGTGCAGACTCCGGACTCAAGCAGAGGGTTGTCGCAGAGTCTGGTGAGGAGATTCATATAATTGTTAAAAAAAAAAAATGACTTCACTGAGATTTGAGATGAAACGAAACTCACTAATGGTGAGCTAACAGTTGAATATTTAATTTAGACTGACATTAGTGGGGTCAAAAGGTTAAAAGATAATGTATGCCAAACAAAACTTTTTAAAAATTGTACCCACACACCAAAAAAGACAAAAAAAAAATTTAATGCAAAACTAAAACAACTCACATGAAAACAGATAACCTGGAGTTTTTCCCTGATTTATTTCCTGTCTCTACGTCAGAATATACAGAAACCACTCAGATTAACACAAAAATTAAAGGTGTCATCTTACTGTAGCGATCTAATAGCATTCTTGGGATCTAGTAGCAGGTCCCTCAGGAGGATGCAGGACTCAGGACCCAGGCTGTTAAACTGTAGACTGAGGACGACAACGACAGGCAGCAAACAACACGTCAAACACATGCTGCACGTGAATCCTTCCTGGAACCTAAAGATCTATCAACATACTATAAAAACACACCAGACTGGACTGAACCCACATGGATCATGCTACAAATTTTACAAATCTACATGTGGGTCATAACCCAGACCAACACAGATCTGGTCTCAAACGGATGCACACACTGATAAAAAAAATTGTTGATTTGGGTTTTTCACACAAACTGCATTTTTTTACTTTTACTATATTTTTGTACTCAAAGATCAGCTTTCAGCTCAAAATGTTTAAATTCATTTACATGAATTTCCAAGCATTTGTACACAGCAAAGGTCATGCACTTACCTTCACACGTCCGTGTAGCGGACAGTCAACACGCCGGGGCTCGAATATGTGAATACGTTGTCGTTGTATAGAATACAGACATTTCACTCACTTGAGGTTCTTTGTGTGTCTGAAGGCAGGCGACAGGATTTCAAGCATCTGGTGAGTCAGCAGACAGGATGACAGGTCCATTTTATCCAGGTGATAACTTGGAGAAGAGACCATGACACAAATGAAAAATCAACAACATTTTTTTTCACACAAAACAGTCATGAATGATTTGAGATACCTTGCAGGGGTGCAGGAGAGCACAGAGCTCAGTATGAAGCATTTCAGTGACGTCATACGGATGTTGCTGAGGCGGATGGATCTGATTGAAGCAATCACCTCTGCAGTCAGTCTGGGGTTCTGAAACTCGTACAGAAGCACCAGCAGATCCATCAACTCCTCCGGAGGTTGTGGTTTGCTGAGCTCTGATATCGTACAGGACAGGAATTTGGAATTTTTATTTGTAAAAGTAAACACACATTGCGAGACAAGAATTTAAAGCAATGGCCTCCAATGAAACTCTACCTCTGACAAGGTACTTCCTGAGGGCGTTGGTGATCTGGACCACGGTGGAGCTCTGGATGCTGCAGCCGAGCATCTGCAGGAGATTACGGTTTCCAAAGTGCAAAAGTCCACCCATGAAGATGGGGTAGAGCTCGAACGGGTGGCCCTCGCAGTACTGCTTAGGCTGAGGGCCGTGGACTCCCAGAAGGCTTTGCTCCACCTGATCGAGGACGTCTTCGTTGTAGCTGTCCTCGGAGCGAAACAGCTCGGTCGCCAGTGTTTTGGCGATGTTGCCTCTATTGCGGCTGCTGATTTTCTCATACAGTTTGGGGAAAAGCTTGAGGAGGTTAAAGACGGCAAAAATTCTGAGAGGAATGAATTTGGAAAGGATGTTGAAAATGGCACTGACATCTTCGCCCGCCTGTCCGATGGCCACAGTCACCTGCTTCGTCATCTTCTCCAGAGCTGACTTGTTCTCCCCTAAAACCACGTAAAGAGCTGCAAGATACTCCTGCATGGCAGGCACGGCAAACACGTACCGCCGCTGATCATTCTCGCCGAGAGCTTCGTTTGAATTCCGACTGCGTTCTACGCACGGCGCCAGGAAGAAGTCCAGGACATCGGTCCTGAACACTGCCAGCTGACGCAGCTCCTCGTCCGTCTTGGTCTTCCCTCCTATCCACTGCTCCAATTCGTCTTCCGAGAAAGACGTCCGCTTGTACGTCACGCCATCAAAAGCCAATTTACCCACAGTGCGGACGACGTACAACATCAGAGAACCATGTTGGTCCTGGAGGGACATTTGGGCCCCAGTTCCTGAACCCATAACCTCACCACCGAAATTGAGCCTCAGGAAGCTGGTGTAAATGCCGGTGAGCGTGCGGATGGGTGCCTTGGCGTTAGTGAAGTGAAGGTAGTGTAAGGTGGCACAGGTCAGCCAGCAGTACGAGGGCAGGAAGCAGGCCGCGGCCAGTTGACTTTCTCGCTGGAGGTTGAGATAAAGGAGTTCCACAAGAGACTGGGCATTAGGGTTGAGTACGGAGTCTTTGCTCCCCTGCAGCAGGCGGCTGGTGAAGTACGCTCGCTGTCGGTCTGGGTCACTGAAGCCGCAGATCTGTGCATAGTGACTCACGTACTTCTGGGGGATCAGATCCACAGCGGAGAGTCTGGTGGAAACCAAGATACTGGCCTGAATGCACAAAAAAAAAAATTTTTTAAAGTAATGTGTGTGTATATTTTTTGTCGAGAAAGAAGCTTGTGAATGCACTTTCAGATTATGAATTGTTTGAAAGAAGCTTGTGAATGCACTTTCAGACCATGAGTTCTTGTTTTACGCCTCACCTCGGGCAGGAGGTATTTCCTCAGCAGGTTCACAACCACCACGTTGGCAGGAAGTGGCTCGTTCGGATCACTGCAGAGCTCTGTGGATCCAATCCTGAAGTCCAGCTTCATTTTCTCCATGCCGTTGAAGATAAACAGCACATCCTTGGCCTGGTTTCCCTCCCCGCTCAATAGAGGGTGTTTCTTCAGATGAAGGTACTTCCGACTGACCAGATCCCTCAAAGATGCAACCCTGATGTTTTTGACACAGAAATCAATTTAGTTTCATTTCATTATTTATTTAAGATTCAGTAAAATTATTTTCTTCAGCTGCTGATGCTTTTTTTGTGGTTAGAATAGAATAGAATCAACTCTTACTTTGAAAGTTCACTGAGGTCTTCACAAGAGAAAGGCACCAGGAGCTTGAACTGCGTCAGTGCACTCCCCCTGCACCAGTCCTGCACCAGTTTTCGGACGACCGTGCTCTTGCCTGTTCCCACCGCCCCGTACAGCAGCACGTTCAACCCGCGACCGTCGCTCCAGGCATCGGTGGACTTGAACAGCTGTTCCACGGTCACAGCGTGGCTGGAGAGGGTGGCGGGGTCCAGAGGGGAGCTGAGCAGTCCTCCTCTCTCCCCCGACTTTCGACTCATGATCAGAGGATCCACGTGCATGGTCTCTGGGCTGAAGTAGCCTCCAAACTGTTTCTCCTCCTGAGGAAGGTGACTGAACCAAAGGAACAGCTTCTTTCTGTGAACCTGGATCGGGTCTACAGTATCTATGTGTATACATACACAGTATTAATGTATGGATTGATATGAAAATGCACACATATTACGACTGAATTGTTTTTAATCTGATTAAATCACAGGCTAGGTGACTGACTGAGAAATATCAACATTCAAAATTAGACAAAGAAAATGTAAGCAGGAGCAAGTCTGGAATCAAACCCAAACCTGTCAGTCCTGGGTGGGCCAGACTTTTATTTTGTAAATTTAGAAAAACTCTTATCTATTCTCGCATGTAGGGCTGTAAACGCCACCACTACTCATTATGTCATGGTTTGTCTTGTTCACACATGCAGTAAGTGTTATTAGCTGAGACCGCGCACCTGTTTCTGGCACAGAGGAGCAGAAAGTCCTGAAGTGAAGGCCGACGGCCGGGCACAGAGAAAGGTCCAGCCTTCTTTTCCAGCTCCATACTGTGAGCAGCTGACTCAGCCGTCTGAAAAACAAGGACGAACGCCGCCTTCATTTAGCTGAGGGCCACCACAGGTCTGCAAACTGACTGGCTGAGAGGTCAGTTTGATTTACAGTCAACAACTCACCGCTCTCATAATGTGGAATAAATACAATTTGATTTACAGTCAACAACTCACCGCTGTCATAATGTGGAATAAATACAAACTGATCCTGGAACGTGAACAGGGAGAGGCAGTAAACCAGTACAGCTGACTGAAACCTCCTCTCCCTGAATATTAAATGTCACCAAGCGAAACAATGAAAATCTCAAGACAAACTAATAATAGGGGAAATGTGTGTGTGTTGGTGTGTGTGTGGAGCTGTTAATCCCAGTGCAGGCTGCAGCAGGTATGATGGCATACTTCTGAAGTCTTGACATTTAAGCCAAAACATAATGGTGCACGAATGGCTGCAGGGTTAGGAGAGAACCTGTTTCATAGGTTCATGTAGCCTGAAGAAGAACCAGTGAACTCCATGCGACCAGTTCATGGACTTTATGCGAACAAAAAAAAGAAAAAACATGTCAGGAGACGAGTCTTTGCTGTGACAAAGTCTGTCCAGGGAGAGGGAGAGTTACGACACTAAAAAACGATCCTCTCTGTGACAAACACAACAAAACTCGTCTGCTCCACTGTGACTATGATATTTATTTTAGGTAAGTGCATTTCAAACATTAAAGAAAAAACAACAACAACAACATTGGGCTTTTACTATATTACTGCCCCTGAACGTCTCATCTTAACGTCTTATATACATTGGATACAGAAGTCACCTGGACGTTGTTGATGTTATTGACCGCTGGAAAAATTCTAGCTAAATCCTGAATAGGTGCGGCCTGTCCAGTTGAAAGTGTCGACTGCATTTATGGTTCTCAGCTGATTGCTTAGTATCTTTATATCACGCCTGATAACAAACACACAAGTAACTTTTGCAGGAATATTACTGCTCTCTTGTGGAAGAAAAATCCACCCCCACATTAAACTTATTTGGATTTCTGTGGAAATTCAGAGATCCAGGGACAGTTAGTGAGTCAGCGCAAGTTTTATATTGCTTAGAAAATACTTTGTAACTCTTGCTCTTGTTCACGTTGTAATAAAAACAGCCTTTAAACGCGGACCACTCGACGTTCCTGTCGACACGCATTGACGACATTTTCTAATCAAAGGTCACTGTCACTGGATGACACCAAACATGGCAAATCCACAATATTTAAAATGTGTCTTTAAATGTGTCTTGTCTTGTTGACAGCTAGTCTCTTGCTATATTATTAATGCCCCAAGAGCAGCTATTCAACTTTCACCCTCAGGGTGCAAACAGAAACGTTGCTGTATGCAAATACAAAGACAAACGAAGACGCCTCCACTCTTGGACACCCTGACCAGTGGATGCTGTTAGTTTTAAAATTAAAATGACATGAAAGTAGCAGTTACGGTGATCTGAATGTAGAATACAGAAGTCAGGGAATCTATGGCGGAACATCGGATTCCCCACAAATTCTCGGCGAGTCACTGAACCTGACCTCGCTGACCTCACTGTAAGTCAGTGTAGGAGACCAACCTGTGCAGCAAGCTCATCTTTTTCAAATTCGTTCCGCTCTGTCAGTCAGGAAGTCGTCTGTGGAGAAAAGGTAACACATCGGTGTCAGGAAGCTGCTGTAAAGGTGACTGAAGTGGTATTTTTTCATTCATTATAAATCCACAACATACCGTGTGTTTTCCTCCAGTATAACGACGCATACATTGAAATCTTGAGGTATAATAAAGGCAACAGCCTGTTAAAAATGTTTAAATCCAAACTAATTTAGACTAAAATATTTGTGTAAAAGCCTCAGGTTTAATGATTTAAATAAAAACTGAACTTCAAAAGTCACAGTAAAGGTTCACCAAACTTCCTCCTGAAGTATTTCTGGTCAAACATATATTTTAATGTCGTTTTTATTTAGGTCCAGTTGTATTATCATAGATGTAATTCTCTATTTAAATTATCAGTAGCTAACAGACGGTCGTAGTGGTTCAGTTGGTGCTGATAGCGAAACCACGGTGTTCCTGAAATGTATTTCCCTAATTCATCTTGCCACATACGCCTGGTGTGCTAGTGTATCGAATATAAAAGTAAACAAATGTCCACAATAGAGTGTAGTACAATGACCTGGGTAAAGAGTCAGGTAACAGACTTGGGCAGAGTTACGTAACAAAACCAAAATAAAGAAAAGCCACAAGTACTAACACTTTTCTCTAGCACTTCCTGCCCTAGATACGTGACACTGTGGGCACGATACATTCAATAGATAAATCAATAAAAACAACATTAAAATGGATTCGTGTGAAACTTCCAGTTTAAATGAGAGACATTGAATACTTGTCACCTCTAGAGGACGTACAGTACAGTACCTAGTATGTTTCGAATTCATTAACTAGAGCTTAAACTCGGATTTCTGAAATGTTTTTTTCGAATTCATTAACTAGAGCTTAAACTAGGATTTCTGATTTTTTTTAAAATTAAAATACACTTTGACTGCTGCAAGTTCACTCAGTCATTCACTCGCCATTGTAGCATATTTTATATTGTGAACAGTCGACCGAGTACTGTAGGAAATGTGGACCGTTATGGCTCAGATTTTTTCCATTTGAAATAACACCGGGTTTCCCAGCCGACACAGCCGGTAAGATTAGAACAACTCACCGTGTTTTGTGTCAGTCTGTCAGTCAGTCAGGTGACATGGGTCTCCTTTCATTCACTGCTGCTGCTGCTGCTGCTTTCTCCATGTCAGTGTTTCAGGCACCGACAGCTTCAGACATGTCTGCTCGTCCTCGGCACTAACAGTTCACACAAACGTTCCTACACAAACCCCGCTCATACTTTCACAATAAAACGACGGGTGAGCCCGACACTGGAGTTCAAATTAACCGGCAGGAAACTGTTTTATTAGAGCATATGACATGTCACGTGTTTCGTGATTATATCCGGTGGGTGTCTACATTTTTATTTATACAAATATTACAACAAGTAACATTGGAAGTTTGTGAATTCATTTAGTGTCGCGACTTTTATTTTAAAAGATAGTTAAGCAAAACGGAAATGTATGTGTAGAATAATTTCACTTTGCATTCGATGACGCATCTAAAACCTTTTCAAAATAAAATACCACATACAGCAGAAATGTTATATATTATAAATTAGCTAAATTAATGAAACACGCATTTAATACATAAAACTTCACTGAACGTCACACAGTACGGTAGCTGCGGTACCTGACGTGTAATGTTGCACCAGTTACCTAGTGGTTCGTTTGTGAACGCGCAAGAACGGTTCTATACGTTACCGTGGAGACGTAGCTTTATTGTGAAAGGCTGCGGACGGAAGTATACTGCGCGTCTGTGCAGCTTCTCACGCAGTTTGACAGTGGTCCATGAAGAGGCAGTCCGCACCATTCCTCTCACAGCCTCCCACAGCAGCATCCCGTCCACAGCATGGCGTCAGACGAGCTGGCTCAGAAGCTGCAGGCGCGGCTGTCCATTGCGCTGGACACAGAACCCCGTCCGGAACTCGAGCTGAGTCCGGCCCGGCCCAAACCGCAGGAGAGCGAGGCAGCCTGCGGCGACTCGACGTCCGAGCTCTCCGTTAAACTGAACCGCAGACTGGACATCAACGATGGCAACGCAGCTCCTCGACCCACCCGTGTTTTCAACCCTTACACGGAGTTCAAGGAGTTCTCCCGCAAACAGATAAAGGACATGGAGGCGATGTTCCGACGGTAAGGCCGGGACTTGCGTCTTGTGGTCCGTCCATGTCCGTACGTCAGGGAGCTGCACGACATGTTGAGCCTGAAGCTCATCATGAGATTATACCGCTGTGGTCGCTCATTTAGCCAGGATCTCTCTGTGAAAGTCTTAATTTATCACACTGTTCGGTCCAGGGGACATTATGACATTGTGGGGACATTAGAGAAAGTCCTTACAATTTCAAGGGCTTCTTAACAGAGCAGTGGTCCGTTAAAGCGATTCAAGCGTTACATTTAGATGAAGAGGTTGATGATTGGAACCGAATGGTTGGATGGAATTATATCGATCGATATGCTTGGATTTTATTTTATTTTAGAGGTTGATGATTGGAACCGAATGGTTGTATAGAATTATATCGTTCGATATGCTTGGATTTTATTTTTTATTTTTGGCTAACAAAGATATATCGATGACGTTTTTTGTGTACGTAACACCGGGCCTAAGAGCTGCCAGATCTGCATGAACAAAACCGTTAACTGCCGTTGGTTGATTGGATTAGAGAGAAGAATGCTAGGACGTTTTTTGTTTATTTAGATAGATAACAGATGGATGGATGTGCAACGTAATGTTAGAATTTGTGTTCGTAAGCAAAGCGTATGTAGCTCCCCTACTTCCCTGCAGGGGGCGCTATACATCCTTGTACAAGAGTTGAGCTTGATTGTCCAATATCTTCAGGGTTGGGGGAAACTGGAGCCAATCCAGAGAGTCACGTGAAAAAGACATAAAAATTGGTACATATTTATTTCTTAGCGTGAATAATTAACCTACAGTAACGATTGTATCTGGACGGTGCGAGGACATCCAGAGAAAACGCAGGCCCCACGTGGAGATTATGAATAAGAATTCAAGAATCTTAGCCAGTAACCTCCAAGATAAAATGAGCAAAAACATTTTTCATGATTTTTTGAATTATAAATAACAAACTTGAAACCTTCTCATCATTCGTACCTAAAACGATCCAAAATTTCTGTTATAGATTTATTTAGAAATCACTCGTTTTACTTTGACACTTTTACAGTCGTCTGCAAAACAAGTCTGAAACCAGAGTGAGGTTCATGGTGAGTGAATGTGTTGTGGAATGAACAATGTAACACGGGAAACCCCCAGATTTTTTTTTGTTTTTTTTAACTGGAGAAGAAATCACAGCTTTTAGTGGTTTTATAATAACACAGGCTCACAGTGTGATTGCTATAATCAGGATGGACTAATCACATGGGAGTAAATGCACTGGCCCGGAGGAGGACCATTTGATTGGGTGGCGGTTTTTGTTGTTGTTGTTGTTTATTTTAGAAACACAGAATGTGTTTGTTGAGTTCCTCACAGTTAAACTCAGGCGTATCCCCATGAAGTCATTCAGATATCATCTAGAATTAGTCATGGGGGTGTGGGGGTGTGGGGGTGAGGAGGAGATCTGAAGAACAGTGGAAGGACTTCCACTCTCAGATGTTCTGGGATTTAAGGCTTGTATAAAAGCACCTTTGTCTGGTTGTTGATGGTTATCTGAAAAACCACTGAGTCACTGTCCTACATTTAGCATTGTGGGTATGTACTATATATACATACATATATATATATATATACATATATATACATATACATACATATATATATATATATATATAGACTATTTCACTTTGTTAACAGTAAAGTCTCAGCCCCAGTGGCCACAGGAAAAACGTGTGGTTTATTGTTTTGTGTGTACAGAGCTGGAAGTTTGAATCTGCACGCCATATGTATATTTCCTGTTAAAGGGATGAGTTTCCCCGCTACTCGTATCCAAAATATATGTAAATATATAATATATTTGCATTTATACAAAAAAAACCCCAACTTAATTTTGGGGTGCAGTTTATAAAAGCTGCAGCTTTATTTCCATGGAATTCTGTAGTTATAAACATCAACCTGACTTACCCCATTAACAATGATCACATTTATGTTGCATATATAATACCATGAACCTCTGTTTTGTTAAGCTAACAATGGCCTATTTTATAATCTATTTGTGTTTCACGGACTGACTGGTAAACGTTAGGGGGGATAAAACAAATGTGTGATGACGGAATGAGAATCCTCGCAGATGACAGTGGGCGCCTTGTGCTGTAACTGTACGTTAACAACCACTCCTGATAAACACAGTTGTTGTGCTCTCGGTCAGATGGCAGTGGGCCTCTGGCATTCCCGTACTCCCACAATCGAGAGCCAGGCTGGTCCACAGAGGCCTTTGTGTTCCTGGGAATGGAATGTTGTGCCAGGAGAGGAAGCCTCCCTGTGAATCCAGCCCATGATGCAAATTGAATTGTGAAGGCACACACTAATTAGACAAACATTGTATGGCATGTGTGTGTATATACACACGTCTTTGTTTGCCCTCTAGGACCCTTTCATGACAGCCCACTTTGTTTGGGGTTTGACTGGGAAACAGTCGCTGGTTTTCATATGGTTTTAGGTTTTAAATCGAAATTGAATCTGTTTTCTACTTCAACGTGAAAGAAATGGAAATGATGTAGGAACAACTGACCGATCCCTAATGCAGTGATTCCCAAAATTATCCAATGTCGTTGTTGAGTGTCTTTCTTCAATTCCTGCCAGTATAATCAGCGTTGTCTTCAACTAAACAGGCTGAGATTTTAGGTCATTTGAACTGGTAGATTATTAGATTTCATTACAAACACTGCCCTAATGAACACTGACTGACTGCGGAGCAGCTCCGGCTCCGGTGATGTAACGGGATATGGTTGTAGTCGTGCTGTGTGAATGAATCAAAGTCACTGCAGTGCCAACAGCCTCTGACCCAACTGGCGTTTGCACAGCAGATTAAATATTAAACCCACAGTGAGTCCGCGGCACATCCTGTATCACTTGTCCTGCAGCGTGACACGGCCATATGCTCTGGGTGAAGAAGGAGAATCAACCACACCAACACACGCTCACTGCCTTCTCTCCTCTTCTGTTCACGTGTAAAAATCTAGAAGGAAGCAAAAAAAAAAAAAAAAAAAAAAGGGGAAGAAGAGAAATCTGTTATAAATGTCTATAAATACTCCGCCTGTCTGACACGGGGCTGTGAGCAGAGCCAGGCCGCGGCTGATAACAGCTGCCTGCTGCCGACAGCTGTGAGCTGCAGTCTTGGCCGAGCTGGTTTTCAGTGAGAGTTAAAGGATCGGATTGTGTTTGGTTAGTTTCAACAGTCGTCACAGCTACGAAGTTACAGAAATTGTGATCAGGTGACGGGCTGGTTAACTGACCAGGGTGTAACCAGCCAGGTTATCAACGGTGCGAGTGCTGGGTTGGACTCCAGGGTCGGTGCGGTCTGTCTGTACGTCCCCTGATGGTTTCCGGTGTTTTCTTTCAGATATGACACAGGCAGAGACGGCTTCATCGACCTGATGGAGCTGAAGCTGATGATGGAGAAGCTCGGAGCTCCGCAGACTCACCTGGGCCTCAAGAACATGATCAAAGAGGTGGACGAGGACTTTGATGGGAAGTTGAGTTTCAGAGAGGTAAGAAAGGCGGGGCACTCGAGCCACGGGGTACGAACGGAGAGGCGAGAGTGTGACATGTGGTTTAATGATGTTAGAACCTTAACTTTGTCAGAACCTGAATAATGTGAAAGGTTAAAAAAAAGGTTAAGAACAGAACGTTGGCGTGAAGTCGATCCTTGCAGTAGGACTGTGACGTCTGCCCAAAAACAGAATCTCTCTTCGATGAACAGTGTTTGGAACGACTCCGTCTCTCATGGACAGTGAAGCGAAAAATTCCAATGTGGAAGATGAAGTTTGGGCCCAAAAGGCGAAACTGCGAGGGAAGAGTTAATGTTTGTTCCCTTCAACTTGAAACATTTACTGTGTAGAAGCTGAGTAATGCTGCCCCCCCCCCACACACGCACACTCTGGTTACCCTTTACCTCCAACTGTTTTTCCACTGAGTTGTGATATTTGACTTGAAAACTTGCGAACTCTGTCAGAGTGTAAATGATCACATGACACTGTTTTCAAAAACCGCTGAATTCCTCGATAGCAGAAAAGTTAAAGCAAAAAATATTTAGTCGTTGAGAAAGGCCAGCGCGGTTACAGCCACAGCTTATCTTTGAGGTGGCAGTGCAATCAGAGCCAAAGACACAACACACACAGGAATGTGAGTTTTTAAGGTTATGGCAGCTCACAGCGTGTTCCTCCACAGTAACAGTTGATGTCTCCGTCCTGCAGTTCTTGCTGATCTTCCGTAGAGCAGCAGCCGGAGAGCTGCAGGAAGAGAGCGGCCTGATGGCGCTGGCCAGACTGTCAGAGATCAACGTCTCCACTGAGGGAGTGATGGGAGCCAAGGATTTCTTTGAAGCCAAGGTAACAGGACACTTTGTTTCTCCCTGTGCCGTGGAGGAACAGAGAGTCCAGCTCTCGACGTTCCCGTCTGCGCTGAGACAGCCAACGTCCTGACAAAGCGTCTCTGCATTCATCTCGTTGACAGGTACAGGCTCTGTCCGTGGGCAGCAAGTTTGAGGCCGAGATCCGAGAGGAAAAAGAGGAAAAGAAGAGACAGGAAGTGGAGAAGAAGCAGCGGCAGGCCGCCTTCAAGCAGCTGCAGTCGGCGTTCTGCTCCTGACCGTCTGGAGGACAGCGTCACAGTACCACGGCGTTTAACCAGTGTCACAGTTATGTCCTCGTCTGGCACTTTCTAACAGCTATAGTTAAGATCAGCTTAGGTTCATCTCCACTGAGGTTCATGAAAGTCTCCTTAGATCTGATCTGTCGGCAGATGTTCCTGCTGCCAGATCTTTCTGCAGGTGTTCCATCAAACCACACGGAGGAACGACAACAGTTGTAAACAGTAAGCTCAAATGCATGAGGAAATATTACGTGAGCGCCTTTTATTCCTGCACGTTTCATGAGTTTCTCCTGCATTTCCTCTGTTGTGTGTTTTTGTGTAACTGCTCAATTTTACCATCAGATGTTTTTTTTTTCAGTGTGCGGTTGTTGTTTGTGACTGACTGTGATTGTTTCACGTTGAAGTTCACCTTTTTTGATTTTTGTTTTTACCTCGTTAACCCCGTTTCACAGTGTTACCGTCACCTTCATATCTTATCTTTATGAACAAACAGTGTGAACCAATCATGTCGTTGTTAACGTGATGCGTTTTCCTGTTTATGAGTTCTTAGAGTTCCTGTTTGTCAGGTAACGTTATGGCACAACCTTTAACCTTGGATTAGATTTAGGCACAAGAGCACATTATCACAACTGGAAGAAAACGATGTGTTTTTTTTTTCCAATAGCCTCACTGCCCTTCTAATAAAAACACTCCAGAAATGTCCCGATAACCAAACCACAAATCCTCCATTGTTTGGTCGGCAGCTGCACCTGACCTCCGCTCAGCTGTGGTCACTAAGATCATATGGCAAATTCCACAGTCAAGACGGAGGTTTGTTCAAGGATTATTCCAGTGTTTACAGGGAATACCCCTGATGTTGACTTCCTGAGAGTGAAGTGAGAAAGTTGTTTTTTTAACCTAAACAACATGTACCTCTCGGCCCGCTCCGTGGAAGCAAAGTTAAACAAATTAAAAGCAGATATTGACATCTGAAAATGTCCAGTTATTAAGTTGATTAACACTGGGAATAAATCACGATTCATACAGATAAATCAAATATGAACAAAAATATTTTTTATATCTCCATACATTGCTGGTACAGAAAGACAAATGTTCCCTTTTTTTCTTCCAGCAACTGTATTACATCACAGCCACACGAGGGGGCGGTGTCCGCAATTAGTGATAGTTTTTTTTTTGTTTTTGTTTTGTTTATCCCTGGCCTTAGATCACCAGTATTTACGGCTTCTCGATTCAGTTTACGATTCTCTGTCACTTTATTCATTCAGAAACAAACGTTTTAAACGTAAAAAATGAAGGCTTCTCGATTCAGTTTACGATTCTCTCTCACTTTCTTCATTCAGAAACAAACATTTTAAACGAGAAAAAAATTAAGGAAAAAGTGAAATAATAACGAAGGACTGCTTACCTGCATGTGTTTGAGGTTTAAACTTCCGTTACCTCGGCAGTGAGGCTATTCACAAAAAAACTAAACAAAAAAACATCATGTGACTTTTACGTGTTGTTTGTTTATGTAACTCTAAAAGAGTAAACGATGTATTCACTGTGAGTGAAGTACACACTGTGGTACTGCAGTATCAGCCGCTATGCATCACTAGTACCTTGAGGGTGTTGACCTTTGCTAACCTTTGACTGTAGCGTCACTAGTCACGTGACTGTATGACGCACTGATCACTCATCGTGACCCATTCCAGCTGGTTGTGTTGCTGTTACTGCGGCACTAAACCGGGTTGATACATTTAACAAAACGTCATCTTTACAGTCGTTAGGTTATTATGACGCATTCTGTGGCAACAATAAAAATATTAACAGAAAAATTGAATTGAATTAAAAAAATTGGAGTACAATCTATACCAACGTCCTTAAGAATTTAATCGATACCAAAGTCCTTAAGAAAAATGAAAAAAAATGAATCGATACCAAAGTCCTTAAGAAAAATTAAAAAGTTTGACAGAGGATCATTAACTCAGTTGTTTCCTCTATGGACATTTGGTTTGGGTAAAAAAAAATAAAAATTAAATTACAGAAGTTGAAAATATCTCTCTCTCTTGCATCTTAAATTCGTGGTTTTGGTTGCAGACAGTCAAGTGTACAACACTGACTGTGTATCCATCTTAAATTCGTGGTTTTGGTTGCAGGCAGTCAAGTGTATTAGTACCTCATAACTCTATTAATTAAGCTAAATGAAAATCATATTTTTTTATTGTTCCCCATGTTGTCTTTACAATTTCAGTGAAAGATTCTGTTGATAATGGAGAAAATTTTGTATCAAGTTCCGTAGTGAAAATAAACATATCACTGTGCTGCTCTTTTTATGGTTTCCTTTGCCATACTGTGGTGTGAAAGCAACAAGTCCCGTAACATATTATAAAAAAAAAAAAAAAAAATCTCATTGTTAAACTATTGTGCTTCACTATTAAAAAAAAGCATTGCTAAATCAAGGTGAACTTTTTAGAAGTTCCTTAATATCTAAGCTGAGCCTGAACAAACAGAAGTTCCAACGTGAGCGGCGTATCTTGATAAATGTTACGATAACGATATTAAGTTGTAGCACGTCCTAAGTGTCACTCATAAAAAAAAATGTAAGTATCTTAATAATGATTTAATGAGATGAACAATGTATTTTTTCATGAATGACATAGTTTATATTGGTATTTGTTGTAGAAAATAAATAAATAAATATATATATATATAAGTTGCCAAATGTATAAGAAAATGTCACTGGAGTATATTTTTGGGCACTTGTGAAGATATTGTGATGTTTTAATCCCTGTTGGAATGGAGAACTGAGCTCATCATAATAAAGGATTACTGAAGCTGAAGGGCGTCGAACACACTGTGGTTTTGTCTTGGAGTCTGTTGTCATTCAGTGAGATAATAAGATAACATATCCACTCAACCCAATGATAGGGTGAACTATACTATAATAAAATATATAACTTATCCCTGAATAATCAACTCTATGCTAATATTTTATAACATTAATTTCATATCTGAATGTAAATAAACCACAAACATTTTAAACATGTAATTAATTTTCACTTAAAAACTATATAAATCATTAAATGTGTTAGAATCCCACAAAAACACTCAAAAGTATCTAACAATCGACTATATTAACGACTTTGCCGAACAAAGCCGGAAACTATACTCTCTAAAAAAACAAAAACAAAACAAACACTTTACTCACTTAATGATGTAAAGTAAAACAAGAATCGACCAGCAGGTGGCAGCAAACACCAGTGACTGCAGTAAAAAGATGGTTGCAGACTTGTTTAGAAAATATTTATTTGATGTAATGTACACTGTACAAAGGCACTGGAGAACGTGAGACACTAACCGTTCATTCATTACAATCACAGAGAGTGTAACATTTTCCTTTTCTCGGTTGGATGTTGCTACATGATTTGGTGTCGAAACCACATACAGTGAATTACAGTGACTCACAACACGCTGACATCCTGACATCCAAAAATATCACTGAAGGATCTACAGAAATTAAAATTTAATCATTATTATTATTGCACAATTTGAACATAATACAGTCCATATGCTTTGAATTTAACTAAAACCATGTTAAAAATGTAATGTTAACAACAGTCATTCTATTACTACCGTTAAAGCTCCTTGTTTTGTTTTTTTATTATTTCATGCTGTTTTATTCCAAGACTTGCGCTAGTTTATGGGCTAACTACTGAAAAGCAGAGGAGTTAAATTCTCAACAGTCTACTGACTGCAATTATTTATTGGTCTATGAGTCCAAATAAAATCGAATCGATCAGTGAGTTGCAGCGGGAAAGTCGCAGACGCCTGGACGAGTTATCTGAACGTTTCCCTGTCATTGGACTAAAGTTGTTAGTTTTAACGTAACATGGATTCAGCTGAGCAGGAGCCCCAAGAGTGAGTGACCGCTAGTTGTCCTAAGTTCCCACCCACCTTCTGGTACCGGCAGAGAAAAAAAACAATAAATAACAAGTTACTGTATTTGCATTTTTTTATTTGTTTTATTTTGAAAAATGCTCGTGTCAATAGTCTTTCGGATAGCTTCTTTTAAAGGAGGAGGTAACGCACGGAGGAGACGGAAATAAGCTTTTGACCTTCAAAATAAAAGACATTTTTATTGAATTTTACGCATTTACATTTCTTATTACCAATAAAGAAAGTCTATTAGTGCACATTTATTATTAGAGGTGATTCTCACGTGCCAAAGCTACTATGTTATATTGAGTTTTTCTCACGTGCCAAAGCTACTATGTTATAGTGAGTTTTACTTTATTTTTTATATACAAATCATTTTTGTTATTATTTGCGTTTAAGCTGCACCTCAGCAGCTGTAGAATGTTGTCCGTGGTGCAAAAACAAAAACAAACTGGCCAGTATATTAAGAACTTTTTTTCTGTGCTGAATATCTAGGACAAATGCCACGAATGTATTTTCAATTTGATCATTTAATTTAACTGTGCTAATGCATAGCTTTACTTTTAGTTCAAAATATCTGAAAGATGATATTTTTGTTAAAAAAAAAAACAGTTTTTGTTCACATTGTGTGGTGCCTCCTACTGGCCAGACATTGTTTTACATGAATTTTGAGTGTTGAGTGTGAGGTTGATTACAGCAGCACCTATATTTCTCATGCAGTGTCATTAAAATTATATTATATATAAATGAAATCAAGTAGTTTGTGACAAAAAATATCTCCTATTTTCCCCCCTCCCCATTGAAAACCCCCACCTGTCCCTGTGAAACCTCCCACTGAACAGCTTTTACTCCATCCTTTCGCTGCCGTCTCCATTGATCTGCACCACACAATCCTTGTTCAAAGGCTCCTTTGAGTGGGCTGTGTCAAAGTGTTGGCTACTCACCATGTACCTGCCCCGGGCGTCCAGCACCAGCGCAGGCACAAAGCGACGGTCAAACAGTATTTCTTGACGCAGGTACGAGGTTCTCTTCTGACAAAGGTCCCCGGTTCCTTCCTGCAAGGCTGAGAGGAAGACCACCAACTCGAAGTGGTTGGGGGTGCCCTCACACAGAATGGGGTAGAGGGGGCTGCGGCGGTCCAGAGAGTGGTAAAAGGTGAGCGGGAAGATGAAGAAAGGACACGGCTGCTGGCCCAGCTGATCCAGGCGGAAGTCGAGAGAGGTCTGGTGCAGCGCCTGGCCGTCATGTTCCTCGTAGAGCACTCCGCTGATCTTTACGTCCACCAGAGGTCGCTGCAGTAGGTTGTTGGCTCTCAGCATGAGGCACGTTTGGCCTTGATGCTGGCCCACCACTGCGTGGGGGCTGAACTGGATGGCTCCCGCACGCTTCTGGGGACGCGCAATCTTGGCTACGAAAGCACCTGAGAAAAGAGGGATTTGATTGAATTACAATGAATAAAATCTTTAGAAAAAAATTTGATTGAATTACAATGAATAAAATCTTGAGAAAAAAAAAGCCAAGTAAACAGAAGGAAAAACAACTGTATAAAACTACGATTCCTTTACTGTTTTCTGTACTGCTTATAGAAACTGAATTGTATTTTATGTATTTATTGTTTGAAACAGGAATCTCGGACTCAAGTGCCATTTTCTCTGAAACACTTGGATCGGGTTCTACAGTCCAACAAGCTGACGTTCCTTGTTGGACTGTAGGCTTCAATACAATGAGCAAAGAAATCCTCTTACAACTGACACATGGTCCGGGTGTCAACACTGCAGACAAACAGGACATTTCATCTGACATAAAGGGATTTAAGTTAGGGTCCCAATTCTCCTTGAGGACACAGCGTTGAGAGAGTCTTTCCAGTCGATTCCAAACCAATGATATTGATTAAAAAGGATTTGCACACCAACTGAAAAAAGAAACATCATTACCGGTGATGAAAGCCTCCAGCATCAGACCCAGCAGCATCTGAACAGCCAGCAGTGCTATGGCACTGGGACAGTCCCCACTGGGGAACATGGTGCCGTATCCAATCGTCAGCTGTGTCTCCAGGGAAAAGGAAAAGGCAGCAGTGAAGCTAGTGATGTGTTTTACACAAACCACGTGTCCCTGAGGAGGGGCGTCGTGGTCTTTCACAGCCAGGTCTCCATTCAGGTGGGCCAATAGGTACCACAGACATGCAAACAACAGCCAATGGGCAAGGAAAGAGGCACAGAAGGCCAGCAGGACCCACCTCCATCGCAGACCCACCAAAAGACCCCACAAGTCTTGCAGAGCAAGCAGCCATGCTCTGGCTGAGACCCCGCACCATGACCTTGAGGGACAAAGGGGAGGAGTGAGGGAACAGTGTCCGTCTTTAGTGACCAGGCGCTGACGCAGCGGAGAGGACAGAAGAGGAGAGGAAGAAGCTTTCCCGCCCAGAACGCTACTGGTGGACTTTGTGGTCATGGTCAGAGGTTGATCTGAGGCAGGGCAGGTCGAGGTGAAGAGGATCCTGAAACAAGACGGGGTTGACAATAAATAAACAGATAAATTCCACTTCCTGCTCATCATCAACCACGGCTGCTTATATAACATTCCTGTGACGTTCAGTCAGATTTTATGATGACATGTTATAGAGTCCACATCTCTGGAAAATGTGCCTGTCGGATTCATTTGTGTTCTGTGAGCAGAACAAACAGTCAGCAAACACAAATAACTGGAAGAACAGTGGTTTTTCTTATTTAAATATAAATACAACGAACAGTCAGCAAACACAAATAACTGGAAAAACAGTTAAACTGTTTTTTTCTTATTTAAATATAAATATAAAAAACACAACACTGATTTGAAACTAAAAATCCCATTTGGTGGAAAATAGACAATATAGCCCATCAGGGAATGTCACATTCTAATCAGAATTCACACAATTTAATGACCCAAAACTAGTCATCCAGAGAACTGTTAAATAGGGATGTCTGATATTAACTTTTTGCCGATATCCGATATGCCGATATTGTCCAAACACGTAAATTCCGATTCCACATCAACCCATACCAATATACGCTTGGTAATATTTATTTATTTATCCGTACAAACCACTGTTTTGAGTATGAGATTAATTACATGAGCTGCAATGCTGCCATCTAGTGACTTTTCCGTTAATATACAGCCATTTATCCAAAACTAATTTTAGGACACACATCATTTAGCGAAACCCAGGCATTCTTACAGATATTACACAATATGCTAAATATCGGGCTGGAAATATCGGCCGGCCGATATCCGACATCCCTACTGTTAATGTAAATATTAGCTGATATTAATAAGGTGATCGGA